ATAAGAATGCCCAAGAGAAATAACCAGCACCAGGCTCAAATAGGACAGATATTACTGCGCCAAGGCCTGGAAGTATGTTTCGATAAGTTGAACTTTCAGTGCATGTGCTTGCGCTGGCGGCGAGAAGGGCGAGATCCCCAAGCTTGGTCATCCTCGTCCAGCGTCTCAGCCTAATCCCCAGACGTTGAGCTTGAATTTTTCGCGAAAATATGGCGCAACTTACGATTACGGGCATGCTCGACGCTTTCGAAATCGACGAATCTGATGATGATGATGACTGCCAGACGCTTGAGCACACGCGTTCACGGGAGGTGCGGTCACCTACTCACCGGCATAGAGTATCCCAGCTTCATGGGCTTTACGCTCTGGAAGCTCAAAGTTGACGAATTCGCACTGGTACCACTGGCAAGGGAGCGCCGTTTGGAGGCCTAGATAGTAATATGTAAGTTCATGCCGATTGGGCGTGCTCCATAATTCGGGACATACCTTGCTCGAGAGCGAGAAGGTCGACAAGGAGAACGAGGAAGGCATCAGGATGTTCAGTGCGCGATGAGGTATGTGTATGTAGGATGATATCGATGCGGGTTGGGACAACGAACTTGACTGGGGCCGGGACGATGCTCGACCCTCCATTTACATCAGGAAAGTCCCCCCGTGCTCAGCAGACAGTAATTAGTGACTAGTGGTGTGAATCCTGCTAATGGTACTAATAATGCAGCAAGCTTGTAGTGGCAGAGGCTGCTCAGCATACTAATGCTCATAATCTTGACTAAGCATAGTAGCATGACTGGCCATGAACTTGTTTGGATTTGAAGGGTACATCACTACTGTAGACAGATATTATTATATGATAGTAAGAGATGTTGTGAATAGAAATGAGATGCTGGCCAAGGCACAACATAATGTGATGTAGGTATGCCGGTCTGTGAAGCAATTCACATAAAAATTGTCACATTCATCAAGGACATTGAAGCTGGTCCACTGTAAGGGAACTTCAGGTCCGAAACATGGAATAAGGTGGACACTGCGGTAAATGCACTGTATGTCAATCACCGATGCAAGCCGGCGATTGTTCTGGTAGGAACGTCGAATCTTATACATTCCATGTGATGAATGTGGCCTGGCTGCAAAGGGTGTGAACCATTCGACATATGCCAGGTGCTTTGGCGGTGGTGGACCTGGATGACTTGTATTTGAAGGAAACCAGCGTTCAATAGCATGTTGGGGAAGTGTAAATATTGCTCGGACTTGAGCAACCCGGTAAGCTATGATGCACTATTGTCAATGCCCTAACACATAGTGTGTAACATGCTCTCAGAACTTACGATGAATGTGGCGTCCAGCTCTTGACTCATCCTTTACTAGGACAGTGTCAAACCGTCCAGGGATCAGTTGTCCACGTGTGTTCTTGCGTGAAGGCTGGGCATCAATAGCATCATATATGCTGCCATTGTTGTCCCTAAACTTCAGATGATGGAACACAGGAACCCGTCGAAATGGAATGAGCAGATTTTCTGCAGCATGACGTATCTGTGAGGTTGACCATGAGGGATTCTTGTAACCAATGATGAAATCTGCAAGGGCATCTCCGAAGTCATGTGTCCCGTAGTTGTCTGTCAGTGAGTCAAGTGAGACCGCCTTTACTGAGGGATATTTAGATGCTGTCGGGTGCAAATGAAGGCATGATTCCTGATTGTCTCTTGATGAATCTAAAGGGTTCAATCTTGCTGATATATGTGTGCTGTGGCGCTGTATTTTCTCCCGCCGCTCGAGCCAACCTGTCATCTGTGGGTACTCATCGCGGTGATTTGTTGAACGATATGCCTCTTTGGCGAGGTCAATGTGTAGACGCTCAGACATCTCTGTGTTGTAGTTGTCTGTGGTGCCAAAGTTCATGATTCCTTCATAGTAATGCGACATACTATGAAGCTTGGGAAGATTGAAATTTTTCCGAATCCCAAGTTCGACAAAGATCTGCTTGTTTGAGTGAAATATCTTCAATGAGTCTTGCATAACTGTGAGAGTGTCTGCAGATTGGACAGGAAGCTGTGCAATGTAGAGGAAATCCAAGGCTGCACGAGTAGCAGTTATGAGACGTGTTGGTGACTGTCCAGAAGGAAGGGGTAGATCAACGATGAGACCAAGGAGTATGGCACAAATTTGACGGTGCTCCTTTCCTGTGATTCTGCTGAGTGAGGTGATACCATTGGTGAATATCCGTGTGCAGTGATTTAAGGGCATCCGTTGGCACCGTGCATCAATCTCGTGCGCACCGAATATCTCCTTGAGCCATGCGATGAGATGTTTTATGAGACCTTGATACAGCTGATGGAGAATGTCTGGGGTGATTGAAACATAGATGTTGTGATATGGAAGGTCCTTCCAGAAAGGCCGCGCTACTGGTTTGATGCCTAAATGATTGCATGCATGAACGAAACCTGTTGGATCACGTGGATAGAGCTCGAGTGCTTGAAGAATGGCTTCGATATCATGTTTAGGGCAGCCAGACGAGGTGTGGGGATTACCCGTAGGATTGTGTGGAGGGGGTTCACCCAGTTGATCATGAGGGGTTGTGCCTTTAGGACAGTGTCCGTGTTTTGTGGCAGTAGCTGCGCACTGCTCTGGGTAGTCACCAACAAAAATTGCAAAGATTGGATGACACCTGTGGATAGCACCACTTGCTCTTGTCATAGGGATCCCTGTTTCGCCATAGGTAATGATGGGCTCCAAGATTCTTGCAACCGCACCATGAAAGAGATTTCCTAGTGCTCGACGGCGGCTTGCATCTCCTCGAACATGTTCAAGGCGAGCAGTCGGCAAATAACCTAGGAGTATCTGAGCATGCTTCGATGGCTTCGAACGTATATGCTTGGGAATATTGCCAATTGTCAGATAAATGGGATAGGCTGACTTGTTTCGGAAGAGTGTAAGCTGTGTCTTATCCGAAGAGATGATAAGCGGAACAATTGTAGCACCAGGCTTTGCTGCCTCGAGATCAACCTAACACAGATGTCTAAGATCAACTTATGTGTAGCATTGGCTGACGAACCTGTGTATCCCACCACCACATGCCCGTGTGCATGTCATGGTACACACGTTTCTGCTTGCTTGAATCTGTATAGTGCCGTTCAGGCTGCAAGATGAGATTGGGATCAAAGTTTGGGTCGCCAAACAAGGCTCTGACACATTGAATGATGTCCCGATAGTAGACGTCATATGACTGGCCTGCGACTTCTATCTGATCACGAAGGAATGGGGGGCGATTACTTGGTAGCTTGTTGTCGATGATACGATTGAGCTCGGGAGTGTTTTTAAATGATAAGTTGAGTGCATCAGCAACCTTTGAACGCATAGTAAGTATGAATATGAATGAAATAGAGCGAAGAACATACCCCATCGATAGCCAGGAGCTCAGAGAATGCGGTTGAGCCTGGTCCTCGCAGCTTTGCCCATTGTGCTATTTCCCAATCCATCTTAGAGATGAATGGTGCATAGACATTTTCATGATCTGGTACAATTGATGGATTCAAAGTATGGATCGACTGCTGATAAGCCTCATTTGCACGTGGGGCACCATGTGACATGGGTGCGCCAGCAGTAGGTATAGGAAAGCGTACAATGGTTGGGGGGGTTACAGGACTATGCCCTGTGGTAGTAGGCCTAGATAGCCCCGGTGCGCCTGCAGATTGGGCAGACATTTGTGGATCATTACCAGGGAGTGATTGTGGGCCCATTGGTGCAGTTGCCCCTGATGACAAGGGTTCCCGGTGTACGTGAAGCAGATCTTCCATGTCCTGGCTATCGTCAAAATTATCGTCATGCCTGCAGTAATATTTACTCAATCCATATTTCATGTAACAGCTTAGGAGCTTCACAGACTCACGGTTCATGGTCTTCCCCTGGTTCCACTTCTTCAGCCTCGAGGCCGAAGTCCGCAGGGTGCTGGTATGTACCGAAGTAATCGGTGAATATTGCCTATGTGTAATTGAGAGTACATCGATGATCACATCACTACTAGATATACTTGATTTGCTTGAGATGACGAGTCTCCTGGGGCACTTGAGCTCGTTGATGTCGATCCACCCATTGCACTCGGAAATGCACGGGCATACGCGGCCTCCCAGACAGCTCTACATCGTAAATCTGATGTGATTGAGAGATGCCGCTTCCGATCACTTGCTCTACGAAAGGTTTTACCACATCCCTCGCATGTATTCGACATTGCGCTGCCGCTGTATGCACGGAGATGAAGGGCAATGTGGTGGTAAGAGTAAAGATACGGACGATGTGTGAAGTTGATGCACCGCCAGATGGCCTGAGTCTCGGCGTGTCGCCTCTTCACCCTCCTCCTCGTTGTTGCGTGCTGGCATGCAATGGCTCCCATATTTATACCCGCTCTATTCAATCGACTCTCCAAGCTCTCTTTTCCCCTTTCTCATTCCCTACCCTATTTATTATGTCTGGACGCAAGCTGCGGAAGAAGGCGACTACAAGGACAGCTGACCATGCTGGCTCAGGCATGGACTCGACTCAGAACATCGCGCACACAAGGTCTACAGGTCGACGGGGCAAGAATTCGGGAGACAGCAATCCAACACTCACGGCCATCCTCACCCCTGCGCAGAAGGCTGCGCGAACACGAGCAGCAAATCGGGCAGCCAGAGAACATATTGCCGATGGTAAGCCTGAAATGCATCACCTCCCAGCCATATTCTGATACTCTTTCACAGCCGTTCTGCCCAACGCAGTTGATGATGTACCAGCCATGGCTCGCAAGCGGCCGGAAACTGGGTCAGAAACCAGTGCACCGTCGACCGACATGCCAGCGGCAAAGCGTGTTCGCAATGGTCAGTACACCCTGTCATATCTTTGTGCATTGCTCATGCTTGAGTGGTGAGCAGATCGCCGTCCTCCACGCACCGCAATTCGTGACAACCCTGAGCATGATGCAGCTCAGGAGGTTATGGACCGCATGGCACTACATCCTCCTAGCCAGCCATCAGACACCGAAGGTAAGCTTATTGAATGCATGTTTCATTCATACTTAATACTACATGCATCTAGATGAAGACAATCACAGCCAGAAGACGGATGGCGAAGAGTCAGAGACCGAATTGGAGGAGGACCCAGTGACTGACCTGATGGGACAGTCTGGTCGTCGCAATCTCCGACGCCAGCTTGCTCTTGAGGTATGTAGTGGATTATGGTGTACCTTATGGTGTACACGTCCCTTTCTGACTGCGCTTTGTTTTGTAGGAGATATCATGGGCCTCCGATAAACATCATGCTGTCCTGCAACCCGTCATCGCCCTCCAGTCCCGGTCAGCGGACTTGGCTGTTCCGTCTCCATCTCACTCGCCTGCAAGCTCGAACAGGACCCCTTCGCTCAGTTCATCGTCTTCGCAGACACCGGAATTGCCGTTTACGCATTTCATCGATCCCGTTCTCCTCGAACAGTCCGAATCCGGTGCATCATCACCAGCACCAAACTCCTCATCATCCTGCATCTCGCAAGCGTCCACCCGTCGTCCATCCGCAAACATCCGGGCATCAGCCCGTGCAGCTTCGGCCACGCCTCAAGTAGCACACATGGCGGGTACATCACTCTTGCCACCACGATCGGTTTCTATGCCTTCCGCGGCCTCGATATCATCCGCTCCCCCTCCAGTTACCAGTACCTTTGTGTCGTCGACATCGGCTGCGGTCGCGGTTACCAGTCCCGGGCCTGGAGTGGTAGCGGTGGATAGGGTGCGGTTCTCTGCGGAGTCTCAGACCTTCAATGCTGGATGGCCCGACTGTACGTGGATCGAAGTACCGAAGAAGGGCAAGACTATCCTAATCACAGCTCAGCCTCAACATATACACAAGCTCCTCAACGATGCAACATACTATACTCACCTTTTCATGTGCTTTCACGATGCATTTCCTGACCACGATGCTCGCGCAGAGCTTCTTCAACGTGCGGTCAAGGCCGCCGTGGAGAAACTGCAAGCGTCAGTTCGGGACCCTTTTCTCCATCGTCTAGAAGCCCAGCCAACGTTCGCTGAGTACATGATGTCTTCGGTGAGCTTGGTACACAGTGTATGAAAGGATGCTTATCATTCCTCATGAAGCCTCTGGGTCGCATCGGCATTCTTCGATCTGACATCAAGCAGTCGTGCGAAGCCGCTGTAGTCGGTCATTACGGACTGGTGTCGGGGTGCATGGAGCGCGTCATGGCCGAGCTCGACAAGGACAAGTACATCTATGCACGATCTCCCACTGTACGTACGTCTGTGCTACCGTCTGACCGATCTCACATGCTTGTCTAGAATGCGCGGCTCAAAGACCGGCCATTCCAACATCCCTGCATCATCGATCAACTCAGGACCCATTTCTTCGCGCATAGCCCTCGCAAGGGTCGCCCTCTCACCCAACGCTTCAACGATAATTTCATCTCAAGTGTCACCTGGGACGCTCGGAAGGAAATCCCGGCTCCTATGCTTGCCCTTATTGCAACTGCTGTCAGTGATCCGTGCCATGCCTCGCATTCAAGCTCACCTCGGCCTCGTAGATATACGCAGCCATACGCGAGTGGGAGACCGGTGAATGCGTTACCGAAGACTTCACGGCCGACACGTACATGGACGTTTACAGCTCACACATGCTCACCCTTGCGGACATCAAGCAGGCATCGGAGCGGGCATATCATGGGATGATGGCAGGGTTATACGAGGCTGCTTCGTGAGTACAGTCATGTTGTTCACAAAGCCTTGATTATAGAACAAAAACTTCAGAAACACTGCTCCGAAACCGCGCCGAACGCAAGCCATCACAAGCAGGATCCAAGATATCGATCTCGAAGGAATGGCTTCGTAGTATGTAGTATCGTGTTCGTCGCATTGATACCCGCATTCTGGTCCCACTCTTTTGTGCTCGTTTCCGTTTCGTTGATATCAGTTTGCCTATGCGTAGCTAGCTCCGTATAATGTCGTACACGCGGATCTAATGTCATCGGACGTGACCTCATCTTCGACGAACCATGCGCTAATCGCAGCTCACTGAGCATCTGATCGAGTGCTAATCGCGACGAACTTAGTGACGATTCTCAGAGCCCGGTTTCCTCGCCCCCGATGGTTGGTTCGGTCTTAGACGAGCGCTTGCGCTTAATTGGCAGATAGCTTGAACGCATAAGAGGGGGTGGGTGTATAATGCTGCCAAGGTCTCCAAGCCTCTAGATTCGTACTAATTGTAACTCATTAGGCCGGGGCGAAAGTCCTGATGTATACAACAGGGTATCCTAGGCAAAGCGGGGCGGGCCGCGCAATGGGACCAAGCCAAGACCATCCAAGTGCCTCAGGGCGGCGTGAGTATTCGTGGGTTATCCTGGCGGGTCCAAAAATAGCTTTGCGCAGCGGCAAAGAAAGACTCGGGGGAACCCGCTCGTACTCGTCCTGAGCACACGCAATATTACATGAGAGACCTCCGCCAAGACGAAGACACCCATGCATGTGAACCGCAGAGGTAGCGGTACTGAGCGTCGCGAGCTCGCTGTGGATGCGCGTTGCCTGACAAGGATGTCCTAAGTGTTTGCAGTAGGCTAGTTTGCTACCAAGAACCTCTCTCCAAAGGATGTCTCCCCGCCGGAACATCGATGAGGATGTTATCGGCTTGAGCTCCGATGATGCTGCACGGCTTCCTTTCGAAGCTAGGCGTGGAGACCATGCTTGGGTATGGTTTCCTGTACGCGGGCAGTGCACCGCAATTCGTTAGCCCCGTTGAGTAAACACGTATGGACGGGTGGAGTGTGCTATGAATCGTTCATAATGGCGAACCAGGCCTAAATCGGGTACGTTTTCGGGCCGAGTCGAGGCTCCCCAGGAAAAGATATATCGACCTTCAAGGTCCGGTCGATGTCAGTTGCTTCCGCATACTGTGCACGAATAAGCCTCCACAATGGCGTCACAGGTGAATCGTCGGTGTGAAACGAGCTTGAGACACCTCCACCGTCAAGTTCTAATAAAGCATGAGGTATACCTACCATTCAGTAGTGATGTGGTGTCTGACCTTGATCAGCAGCACCCTACGCATCTGTAGGGTTCAAGTCCGTAAAGAACCAAATCCTCTGAACACGACTTTGCTGAAAGGGCAGTATGTTACGTGCATGAATCATCAGAGGGATTGAATATTGTAGACGGTGCATAGCAGCCATTACGCACCGTAGCATTAGTCAGATCACCATACGCTGCAACTGATGTGCAGGAAAAGATCAACAAGATTCCCAGAGATGTAGAGGTCGAATTACAGCGTGATCAACCCCTGCATGTCGAACGGAAGAAATCTGTTCGAGGTGACGGAGTCCTTCTCTGGCCAAACAAAATCGTACGGGAGCCCTCATGCGCAGCCCTACAGCACAAGGAGCGTCGAACGAACACCGTCGGCTGGCAGTTACTGTGAGTTCTATGTAGGTGGATAGGTACTGCACGCTTGAAGCCAGCGAGGCCCCTTACAGTCCCCCACGCACACGTGGCATTCAATGCACTGACATTTAGTGACGCGAAGGTCGCGCATGTCGGGCATCGCTTGCCCGTGCGGCGTGCATCAATTCATCCGAGGCAGCACTGTTCTCAACGGATATCCGACGGTGCAGAATACCGATTATATTATACCGACATTGTGTAATAATACATTGCAAGATGCGCCGCGATCAGGTGTTCTATTACTTCTTCACCTCGTTCTTAAAGTCTTCTTTTGCAACCCGTGCGCCAGCCGCGGCCTGACAAGGTGGTTAGAGTTACTGACGATGGCGAAATCTCTGGAGACCGACCTGGTTGGCTTTCTGACCAACGAGATCAGCATCTTCCTTCGCTCCTTGTTTAGCCTGCTCCGTCTTTACACCTGCAGGTTGTGTTCGTCAACGAGATGAACGCTACTATGCCATGCATCACGTACCCAACGTCTCTTTAGTTGCTTGAGTCGCCTTCTCTCCCTTCTCAATGCCAGCTGCCAACGTTTGTCCTACCTTGATATTGACCTGATATGTCTTTAGTACCCAGGCCTGCGCTCCTCAGGTACGGACACGTACATCTTTGGCGGTCTTCTTGACCTTCTCCGCTGCAGATTCAGCCGCCGCCGGCGTGTAGTGGAAAGCGCGGGCGGCCGAGAGAGCGGGGATGCGAGCGGTGATTGCGGTGCGAAACATCGTGAATACAGGGATGCGCGTTGAAGATGAGTTAATGTGTATGCAGTGGTGGTATAAGTATAAGATGAGGGCCCTGGTGGTGCGTTGTCCAATTTCATGGGCGCTTTATGAGGAGAGCAGGAGGAGAGGCGCAACCAACGCGTGACGTCATCGATGTCATTTCGGACCCCTCTGTAGTCCCGAACCCCTAGCTCCTCGTGCGACTCTTTCTGCGGTACAGCTTATATTTCGCCTACTGTCGTCGACGATCGAGGAGAGCTCAAGCGCTCACGAGCACTAAGCAGATAATGCGCAAGAGCTTTCCACGTACGCGGGTTTGCTCGCGCTCCGCAAAGGGGCGTGAAACGATGATACGCTTGGGGCTCCGGGAGTCAGGGTCGACTGAAGCATTCTACGGTGCTGTGGACCGAATGACTAACGTCGTGGTCTGATCGTTAGTACACATAGCGTTCAGACTGACATCTTCCATACGATTAAGTCTTCAGGACACATTGTTACTCAACTCGGAGGTCCAAACACTTGCGTGAATATACACTGCTGAAGGGTGTCAGAGCAAAATCACAGAATCCGTAAATGTAGCATGAACGTCCATACATATCCTAGTTATGCCGCTAACCCTCCTCGGCGGAGTCTGCCCTTGTAATTTCCGGACAAGAATGTATGGTCGCATGTTCATCACGTTGTCTACTTGGCGCGGACGGTTGTGCCATTTCTGAAGGCCCAGGAGATGCCATGTTCTACACTGCATGGACGGAGTTAGTTGCTGCAGTATGGAAGGTAGACGGAAGTAGCTCGCCTCAGTAATGCAAGACATACGAGCACCTAAATGTGCTCGTACGCCCACGCAGCGCCTCACTGACCTATACAGAACACCGCGAACTGCCCTCATTCCTGCGGACGTAGATCCTGTGAAGACGTGGGTATTCGTTCCCCTGCCTAGGATTGCCCTAACGCGGAGAGTACCACAGATGCGGTGTGGGACCAGTCTGTGAATCTGGGACCTAAAATAGGAAATGTCGTTCTCCGACTAAACGACCTCCGCAAGACCTCCAATACAAACCGGTGTACGATCAAGCGCCGCACCTCATCGTGTAAGGGCGGTCGACTCTCGGGAAGGGCCTGATAGCCCTGCATGGATATCGTTTCATCAATGCCGAGATCGTCCGCTGCGCAATGAACGGGGGTATGGGTATATTTCGACTACGCGCCAGAGGCCGCATTCCCGATTCTAGTGGAACTGCGTTGATACGAGGCCGCCCGGACCATGGTGCTTATTGGACGGTCGATAGGATGATAGATGGTATAGAACGCCTGAAGAAACTACGTTTTGCCACATCATCAACACCAACTTCATTAGAAGATCCGCGAGCGGCTTACCACGGTGTCGTTATGTCTCCCAGAACCTGTCCTGCGGTAGCATCCAATATCTGGGCTCGACATTCTCTGGGCGTACCACACGCCCGGTGCGACTATCTCGATCCCTGTCAACTGCGAGGCAGTCTCCGAAGTGCTTGGGCGTTGCCTTGCCCAGGAAGACAGGCCCAGTCGTATCTATTCTTGCAGCGGGCTTGGCGCCGCTTCCGACGATCCAAATTCTTTCTCGCACCCTTCCTTCCAGGCTGCGGACAACCTGAAGACGAGAGTCTTGGTGGACATTGGTAGTTTCCTTGGCCAGGCGATTCGCAAGGCGCCGCTGCGCGTCGGAATCGGAGATTTGTATATAAAATGGGCGGCGTCTGCGATGTTATCTGCATAAACAGCTCTCCTCGAACCCCGGATCTGCACCACATAATCACCCGCACTTACTGGACCACCCGCACCATCCGCAATCAACATGTTCTCCTGGACAACTACCAAGGTACGGCAAGTTGTCCACGTGTAAATAATCCGCGATTGACGGCCCGTACACAATCCAGCGCAACTCCACCGCATCGTATCACCGCCGAGCTTCGAGTTGTTACTCTCGGTATACGAGCGAGCCTCGACCAGAACTGCAGCATCTTCGTTTGGAGATAAACCGGGTAAGGATCCATTGTGCGCCTTGTTGAAACGCTGGGCTCACCAATACTTAGACGCTCGCGACGCCTCCCTATCAGCCGTCTTCGCTGAGTCTGGAGAGCACCACTGGCCCAGTAAGATAGCCTTGTTGTACATCACTGATTACGACGTAACATCCGTCAGGCACTTCTATTAGACGAGGATGATTGGTCTGCATGGGGACCACCACCTCGCCGACGCCAGAGGAGGAGGCTCTTTTAGGGTGTCTATGTTTATACCCATCTCGGTTCAGTCATATTGTATCAGAATAGCATACTGCGGACCTATAGACTGTACGGCGACGCCACCCTGTATTGGGCGACTTATGAAACCCAAACGGAATCATCCTAGCTTCGAGATAGTTATTATATCTAAGCAAGCAACGTCAGCGTCGAGTTCTCCGAGTTTCCTCATACACCAAACTATGCAGGACTCACCACGATGCGTCTGTGGCCATCCCCAGGGCATAGTTTAGGGTAAGATAGATTGTATCCGGATTCAGAGAGCCTGTTGCGGTTCCCTATGCCACAATCCAAGAGAGTCGGCCTCGGCCTCCACCTCAGCAATAGCTTCCGCCACTTCCCCGCCCCCGCGTAAATCCATAGGCACGGTGTCCCTCCCATAGACCCTGCCGAACAACTGCGCCAATGCCACCATCTCATCGTCCACGCGCACCGGCGCCCCAACAGCCCCTTCTATCGACCCCGCCTTCACATCCGCCAGCCCACAAGCCACGACTGTATTGAACCATGCCAACGGCTCATCTGTAACGTTGATAGAGAACCCGTGGGACGTGAGACGATGCCGTACTTGCACCCCGATGCTAGCCATCTTCGTCTTCCCATCGCCCGCAAAGACGCCTGTATGTTCACTCGGCACGGCTTGTATACCATGACGCTCCTTCAAGAACATCTTCAACATGTTCTGCATGTTGCATATATAGTCGTGAACGCGCATGGAGGGCTTCCAGCGACTGAGGTCAATCAAGGGGTAACCGATGATCTGACCTGGGCCGTGATACGTGAGCTGGCCGCCACGGTTCGTGGCCTCGAAGTCTGCGCCCATTCCCGTCAAGCGCGCCCTCTCCATCGACAACTCCTCCTCGGTCTGTCGGCGTCCCGCGGTGAACACAGGCCGGTGCTGCAGAAGCAGAAGCACATCTTGGTGCGAATTGCTGATAGAGCGAAGGTCCAGCTGTAGCCGATGTATTCGTTCCTGAAGAGCTAGTGTCCGAGCATAGGGCAATGGGCTGCGAAAGCAATGGTAGAATATGGGTTGAACCATGAGGCGCGCTGGCAGAAGACGGGCGAAGCTTTGAAGTCGATCGCGTCCATCTGACTAAACGGAGTCAGCGGAAGTCCTTCAGCTCCGCAGGTCTAAATGCACAATGACCGTGGGACCCTGCTGTGTGATGAAGTAACTTTGATGAACTGATCCATTCTAATCGGTGGCTTCACTTTATCACTGAGTGAGCTATTAACTCAGGAAGTTCATGCGTAGCCGGGCAGAGCAAAACGAGGCGCGGCTACAGGCAAAGGACAGATAATAATGATACATGTCAAGAGGTATCCTCGTGTATAGTGGTCGCAGTTTCGTCCAACAACAAGAGCATCGTTGTTCAGTACTTGGAGCGGGTCTTGCGCTTCCGCCTTGAAGGTGGTCCCCAGGCTTGATCGTCGTCATCGAGCATCTCAGCCTGAGTTCGCTCGTCAACAGATTGAACACTGCGGGGAACGAGAAGAGCTTACCACATAATGACCGTCATGGCTTGCTGCAGTATCCTGTTCCTGAATACTAGTCATGCGTGATGAAGGTGTCTGATAGTAATTCATTGGTCGCTGTCGACAAAGATAGACGAAACGTGACAATCGTACGCACCGTCAACCCCGCCAGTTGAATGACCTGCGATTCTGCGGTGCTAATGGTGGATACAGAAGTAGCGACAGAGGGTGTGAGGCTCTGTCTTTTTGAGCGCTAATAGGAGGATCAATATCGCTCGGATGACGACGAGCAGAGCGGCTCCCTCACCTTAGAACCGAGAGACAGCCTCGATTTACTGAAGTTCGGAAAAGATAATATTGAGGGCATGGCTGGTATCAAGCAGAATGTCGTGAATGATAATCAGAGTCGTACAGCTGAGCCCTCTGGATAACACGAGGGAGGAGGGACCGTCGACTGCGCTGGCAGGTGCTTTTATAGCTACCATCCCGATCTGGCCACCCAAAGTCTCCAAGACTATCGCCGGACATAGAGCTCACTGAGCGGGACGAGCTCCGAGAAGCGCAGCCCAATACGAGCTTCGCGCTATATCTGACTGCAGAAGCTGGCTCCTCCCGGAACACCGGAGGCTTGGTGAGCCGCCGCCTTCATTGCCCATGGTCATCCATTTCGCGGAGCAAGAGAATCATCCTGACCAGCTGACCTTTCATAGCGCACCCATTGCGTAACAGCTGGCGCTGAGCCCTCCGCTGTTCGCCTTATATGGCAACCAGTTCTCGTCCCGCATCGCCTTACAGCGGAATGGGGATTGACGCGCAGTGCATGAGCATGGAAAACTGGAAGAGGTCAAGATGACGCCAGCTCTAGCAGACAGAAGTAAGCGTGCCGCGTTTCGCTATCGGGACACAATCATCGGGAAGGTTTCCGCGGCCGTACGAGTCGGTGTAACTGTTGTCTTTCATCTGTACAAATCGCAGAAGAGTCCCGTGATCGCTGGCGGTCCGTGATTGTCCTGCTGCATAATATGTGGAAGGGCAAAGGCATTTGACCAAAGCAGACCTTGAGAAATCGAGTTGAGAGCGCTGGTAACCTCGTTGTGCGCAGCGGTGAGTGCTGTGCCCGACTGAGAAACCGCAGGAGCGTCGGCGCTGGTCCGTGGGAAAACGCCAAATCTCTTTATCGTTGACGATGCCGGCGATGACCAGCATCTTAGTCCAGTGCCACCCTCCAATGAAGCCAAGTCAACGGAGTTTGAGGCACATCCGACGGTGCTGTTATAGACGGATTTGGTAAGCGCGCCCTGTCCATACTTCAAAAAATCCTATCACTACTGAGGCATCGTATTCCAGGCAATGACAAACCTGCTACGGGGAATGCACAGAGAGTGCACATGATAATGCCTCACCATATCATGCCTTTGACAGAATTCACGCAAAGGCTTGCTCAGCTGAGACAAAATTGCTTCGGTTCCTCTGGCCTAACCGCCGGATATGGCAACGAGGATCGTGCAGCAAAATCTTCCAACGTCGAACAGGTTACTCTTGCTTCCAAACCACCGTCACATGAGAACATCAACCCCTGGCTTACTCTATGGAACGCCCGGTTGGTGCGACCGTCAAGACGGACGAAGCATCGCATATACTTCGTCTGGGAACATACATCCCCTACAGGACACCGCAAGGGCGCACTGAAGCCCGGAAGCGACGCCTTACTCGGTCGATGCACGATCATGGCACAATGCGTCACTGGGTACTTCATTCTCAACCTTACCTGCCGATATCCCTGATATCAAAGCCAGCTGCTATTCCTGCTCTGTGCATCGAATGCCCGACGGGATACCAAATGCACGGCTCGCAAGCGGGATGCGCCCTTTGCCTACGGCAGTATCCTCATGGCACCAGCAAGCCCGGCGGGAGAGGATGCATGAACCTCGTGGACATCGGGCCCGCTCGTCAACGAATAGCCGGAGCAGTGTTCAAACAACTCGGGCAGTCATTGCAGTCGAAGCAGCAATGAAGCTCCTGGCGCGACCTAAACATATTGCGTTCCAGCGGCGTTCGGATAAGAGCTGGGTACACACAACTTCCGCCCAGGCATAAGGCTTACTTCTAGATCCTGCTCACACCACGTTGTTCGCAATCGTTGTGTAGGTACTTGGCCGCGGATCCAGGCACAGCTGACGACGTTTGGGAGTCCACTCGAGCGAGGTTGCGCTGCCTCTCTTCTCTACTTCCTTCGCAACACTCCTTCGAGCGCTGATTGATCTGGCCATGCAGGTGGCCGTCATAGAACATGAACTGTTGAGTGCGTCGTGCCATACGTGGATGCTCCGAGGACTTGCACGCATGAACTCTGCTCAAACTCGACCACTCTGGACTGCTGATCGGCTGTTCTGGGCGCTTGTCCGATACGCAATGGCATGCGGCTCATAGGCTCTTCTGTCTAAGTGTAGCGTCGACTAAAGAAAGCCTTACCAAGGCATCGATGCACCCCACGGTCGAGTTTGTTCCCGTCAAGAATCGGTACCGAGGAGTCGTCATTGTGCAACAACTGACCCATCGTGGTGCCTAGCCACACTTCCTTTCCTTCACGTATGTTAGTAGTAGTAGGGCGCAGGGCAAGCTTGCCAGATGATGTTCACCATATTTGCACCTATGATGCGCACGATATCTATTCAATTCGACGAGATATGAGATGCTGTTTATGCTACATTTATGCTGTGACGGAGCAGAGTGACAAAGCAGAGAAAGCAAAAATGCGACCGTGTCCTGTTCGCCGCGCCCGCTAAGAACATTCCCGACACCTCACAACGCCCAGATCTTGACCGTCGCGTCCCGCGCGCCCGTGACGAGGTAGCGGTCGATGTACCGCAGCCTCTCCATGGGCTTAATGTGTCCATTGGTCGTCAGAGTCGAGTGTTGCATGCTCGTGCGATTGTAAATCTGCGCGTCGTGGTCGCATTGGGATACGGAGCGGTTCACGTGGTAAACACCAGGAACTCACTTTGACGCCGTTCTCTCCCGTAGCCGCCAAGATTTTCCTGGTGTCGAACTGCACTGCAGTCACTGCGTGGTCGTATTTGAGCGTCTCGAACACGCCGCCAGTGCGCAAGTCCCATATCTATCGCAGTGGAAACATCAGGGATGGCTCATACGACAGACGTTGCAAAAGTGACTGACCCGAACAGACTTATCAAGGCTGCCGCTGACTACGTGAAGCTCATCGAACTGAAGGCACGTCACAGGTCCGGTATGCCCCATCAACGTCCTATGTGGTTGGCCCGTCCTCACTGGCAAGGTCGATCAGTTCCATTACGATGTAGCAAGAACGAGTCAAGAAACACTCACTGTCCCACATTCTCACCGCGCCGTCCCCGCTGCCGCTCACGAGCGCATAGCCCCAGAACTGAACCCCACCCACGAAGTCAGTGTACATGTCCCAGCTCCCGTCCGCGGCAGGCGGCATGGGCACGGAGAAATTGCCTGCGGCAGCGGCAAGGCCGCTGAAGGGCGCGATGAAGGCGGGCGAAGCCGATGGCGGCGGGTGCGAGATCGCCCAGAGGATGTCCATCGTCATCACGCACTGGCCCGTCTTGAGGTCCCATTGGCGGAGTGTCTTGTCTGACGCACCCGTAACCTATTTGGGGTTTGAGCGGAGCTGCTGCAATGGTGCGAGCAAAGGAGAGCGTACTGACCAGGCAGTCGTCCTCGAAGTAGAGCGCCGTCACGGCTTTCGTGTGCCCCTCGAGCACTCTCACACAGGGGCCCGCCTCCTCCTGTTCGGCGACCTTCGCCTTCGCTTTACCCTTTCCATTGCTGTTCGTCTCCCTCCGGACCACCTCCCCGAACTCGCCGAACTCACTTTCGCCCTCCTCCTCCGCGACATCGCTCAGGCTGAGCACCGTCCCCTCGCGCTCCCATTCGTCCTCCTCCGCCTCGTCATCGCCTACGCGCCGCAGATCCCACAAACGCACGGATCCGTCTGCGGCGCCGGTCAGGCACACATGGTCCTCGACCTGCAGACACTTAACGGTGTCGATGTGCCCGCTGAGCCGGCCGAGCACCGTGCCAGAGAGCAGGTCCCAGACGCGCGGGTGAGGGTCGTCGGCAGAGGCGGAGACGAGCGTACCGTACGGCTCGGAGAAGTCGAGGGCGGTGATGGGCGTCTCGTGCCCTTGGAGGGTCTGTTTGGCGCATGTTTTAGTTGCAGGGGCAGTCGGTCAGGGGGAGACTGACCATGAATGCTACCCCAGGAGGTAATTCATCGTGCTCGGAGGGTAAGAATGCGGGACCTGTGCGATGTATCAATCACCTTCGTACGAGCGTAGACATTTAAAAGCGCACCCTTGCGTCGTCTCGAGCTCTGGGCTATATGAGGGGTCGGCGCCGCCTGAGCAGGGACTGCTGGTGGTCGCCGGGCAGTTTCCTCAAACTCCAGCCTCTCCTGAACCCCTTGCACTGCGCGTGACAATATGTGAGCGATCGCACAGTGAACGATAATAACGGATAACGCATACACTCATCGTCGAGCTCGAGCTCATCTTCCTGCAGCTTGAGCAGGTCCTTCTCGAGCTTGGAGCGCAACGCGTCCAGCGTTTCAATCTTGTGCGTGATTTCCGCAATGTCGTTGTTGATCAGACTCTGCGCAAACCTCGGTTCAGCAGTTAGCATCGCGAGGAGATGAAGAAAAGCACGGACGCGTCGAACGTGAATGTTCTCCTTATCCCGCAAGATTTCTTCGGTCTGCCTGGTGAGCTCCTCCTTCCCCAGCGTCTTCATTGCACTTAGGCTCTCCCTCCCTTTCCTCTTCTGCTTCGGTCTCACGCCGCGCTTCCGCCCGACAATTACCACGTCCTCCTCGCTCGCCACGCTCTCCCTCTCCTCGTCTTCCGCCAGCATACCCCGTGCACTCATTCCCAAGCGCTTCAACCCCATCTTCGGCGTGTCCACACTCCGTGCTTGCCGCCTTCGGCTCTTGCCCTTCTCCGCGCTCGGAATAGTCGCCTCAAATCCCCTCAGCAAGCTAACACTCGGCTTCATCCCGCCCTTGCCCCTATCCGGCCCCATCCGGCCCTCTTCTTCAGCTCCTTCATTGCTCCCGTCATCGTCTTCGCCCAGGGAGAGGTTCAGTAGCTCATCCGTCGCTTCGACGATTTGCAGGTCGCGCGACGTGACCCGCCGTCCGCCGAGCGAAATCCGCACGGCCTGCACAGGCGCACGCCCGAGGGTGGCGAAGTCCATGGCGGTGCGCGGCATGGCGTTCGCGATCGACGCGCGGGCTCCCGGTCGAGCCGAGACGGTTGCGGCGGCGGTCATCATGCGTGGGGTCATGAGTGCGGGTGCGACTACACAGGAGCAAAAAAAGTACTATGAGTATATGCACATCTGAATGCAGCCGTGCGTCCTCCGCGTGGTTTTCATCTACGAGAGGGGGGGGGGCACAAAATACGTACGGTCTGCGAGTATCTTGGACGAGTCTCCGCGCCGGTGTGAGAAGGGTGCCATGATCGCGCGGCCGACGATGTCGAGCTTGCTCGTGCCCGTGCGCTGCGAGGAAGATGAGGCAGACTGCCCGGTGACGAGCGGGTCGAGGGCAGCGCGAGGATTGCGCTTTCGTGCTCTATCGCGGTCGCGCTCGTCTTGAGCCATGTTGCCTCGTTATCCCCAGTGCCCGAACGCGTCGCAAAGTAGGTGGTCGTCGCCTGGCGAGGTCGCGGCGGTTCCCGAAGACTCCCGTTTCGCGTCGCGTGCGTCGCGGTGCTATGCGCACACCACCGCGTTGTGACGATACGTTATTGAGACAGGATAAGTGAAGGGATAATATAGTCCTCAACGTCAATTGTGAAGGAGGGAAGGAGGCGACCAAGGACGAGATGCTGGAAGAGGCGAGGCAGGGAGCCAGCGAGAACTCGGACGCGAGTGGATGATGTCAAGCGCGGTCCGGACACAGGCCGACTTTTTCTGCTTTGCTCACCGACTACCTTCGCCGAGGATGTCGTTCGTTGCGGCGACAGGACGTCTGCGACACATCGCTAGGCGTGTTTCTCACTCGCGAACACGAACCTTCGGACCGTTGAGCTCCTGGATCCCAGCCTGTCGTTGGCAGCACGATTACACCGCCAAGTATGCAGACAAACTGCAGAAAGTTGCCGAGGAGTGAGGTACTTGCTCCTGCTCTCCGACTGTATCATGATGATCCTTACAGGTGAATAATCCGTCCTGCAGGCGAGGGCTGAGCGTTGAGCAGCTCCGGGCCAAGTTGCGTGAGGAGGAGCTTGCCAAACGCCGACAAGCCGCTACGTCCGCAGGGCCATCGGCACAGGCTATCAGCAATGGGAAAAGCTCGTCGACGTCGACGGCTGGCGCTAGTATTGCAGGGTCGTCTCCTTTGTCCCAGCCTAGAGCGCGTAAAGACAGTTCTCCCGTTAAGGTATGTTCGAATCCCCTTCACCTCCCTCGAATCTCCTTGACCAAATCATATGCGTTACCATAGCCACTCTCGCAACTTTTCAATCTTCCAAAGCTGCTCTCTACCCCGCATACGCCCGCTCAGATCCAAGCGTTATGGACAGCATATCACGCCTCGCGCTCCTCCGGCACCGGCCGCGGCTTCCTCTGCGCAACCGTACCAGCGCCGACCTACGAGCAGATGCTCACCCGCGCACGGCGCTACCCATCCTTTATCCTCCCCCTCCCCCGTACCACAACAGACCCACAGCAGCGGCCGGACGGTGGCGACCAGGCTCACGAGTTTTTCTACATGCAGTGGGCGTTCCACGGCGCTCCGGCGACACCGACCTACGAGTCCGAGACCGCGCTTTTCCCCGTCTCGTCTTCGGCAAGCGGAGGAGAAGCAGCGAACCCGCACACGTCTACGGTGCTCTTCACTCCCCTGGGCGAATACAAACTCCGCCAGACGTTCGCGACGCCGCACCTCGTACTCACATTCTACCCCGACCTCGCGCGCTCGCACGGCGTCGTCCTCCTCCGCGGCGAGATCACGCCCTCAGCGGCCTCGGCCGGAGAGGGGGCTGGGGCTGGCGACGTGCGGTACCTGCTCGGTCAGGAGGACGCTCAGATGCTGGCGATGGGCGTGCAGAAGTTTTACCTGTGGGGAGAGCAGCAGGGCGAGACAGTGGAGGGGAGGAGGAAGGCGGAGGAGCTCTTGAGGGTGTTCCACGAGGAACCGGAGAAATTCCAGTGGGAGGAGTTGCTAGCGGAGGCAAAGTTGACGCCGTAGTCGCCAAGTTATCTTGTCTAAACTAGAGCGTTGTAATGTAGGAACGCGCATGCTCAACTCTCTCAAGATGAAGCTGAGGGGTACGAGGCACGTAATCGTGCATATATGCATCAAAGATACTTGCAGTGATCGTACTGTACAAGGTGCGCGATGGGAGAAAGATCCCTCGTCACGTATCCAAAGTCCTTGACCACCCAAAGTCGAGTATAATGTCGAATCCAAATGGACGGAGGTCGTATTCCTTCCTCAGCCACGGCAGCTTCTGCGCCGGCTCGCGCGTTGCGTCGGAAGGCGCCGCTGCCTCCCTCGGAGCCGGTGACGGCTCGCCTCCGGGTACGGGCTGCCCGATAGAGCTGCCCTTGAGCCAGCTGAACGCGCCCCGCCATGTTCCAGAACGTGTCCGCGCCGCCGTCGCTCCAGTCCCGTCGTCGGGAGCGGCACGGTCCAGTTCCGTCGGGGACCCATCCTCACCCGCCTCAGAGCGCACCCGCTCCCAGTACTCCCTCTCCCGCCGTTCCAGGTCCGCCTTGAGCTGCTCCACGCTCCGCCACTCCCACCGGGTGACGTTGAACGGCTCGAATACGCTCTCGGACCCCGCAAAGTCGACGAAGCACCGGTCGCACAGCTCGAGCGAGGCAGGGAGCGGCACGTCTGCGGCCGCTAGGCGTGCATCGAGGTCGGGCATCAGGGCACGCAGCGCGTCAGCAAAGGTAGTCGCGGGTGCTTCTCCAAGAGTCGGGGAGGAAGACATGGGCGCGGAGAGCGGGACGGGGTGCCGCGAGCAGGAGGATAGGAAGAGAGCCGTGAGGAGGCAGATGCAGTAGAAGCATGGCTGGGCGTGTAGCGTGAGCGTGAAGAGAAAGAGGACTAGAAAGTAGGCGGGCGCGGTGGGCAGCGGGAGGAGGAGGAGTGGAAGGTACCACCGAGTGCACCTGATTAAGATGTCAGTTGTGCGGTACCGGCGAGAACGACAGCTACTCGCCACATGTCGGCACGACGACGATTGCGTTCTTCCCTCCGTATAGACAGTCGAGGTCGCAGTCGGCGTTTAGTAGAGCGTGCCTGCTTCTCCGAGCTCGACTGCCGCCTGCCCTAAAGCCAATCATGTGCCCACTGGATCGGAAGATCCATCGCGATGAGATTCTCCGGCGTTCTGGTCGCTTCCAGACGTCATTTACGCCTGCAAGTGCGCGCGTCCCCCTACTTTAGTCTCCATTCACTCAGCGGCCTGGCATACACGACCCCCAAACTCACGCCTTTTCGTTTCTTTGAACCACGCGACTGTCCTTTTCTTCCGCATCTCGTCGATAACAAAATGGCCCAACATCCTGAGGTTCTCTGGGCGCAGCGCAGCAGCGACTCCGATGCGAGCAAGGTACGCGCCTGCACGCACCAATAATTTGGCATCGGTTCGGATGGGCTCATACAATACTTGCATGACGACAATAGAACATCATATACTTGACCATCAACTTGCCAGACATCGTCGAGAGCACACTCCAATATGATCTTACTCCGACAAAGCTTTCGTTCAAGGCGAAAGCCGGTAGGTAAGCGCCTGTTCCCCCACGGTGTACGCGCTCGCAAAGTACGCGATTCTGATGGTCCGGTGTGTTGCGTGTAGCACCGAGCAACGCGATTTCGCCTTCGACCTCGACTTCTTCGGCGAGGTCGTCCCCGAGGTATGTCCCGCATCACGCTCTCGCATACATGCGCACCATCTCAATGCCCCGATTCATAACAGGAATCCTCCAAGCGTTTGACGAGCCGCTCGTTCGCGCTCATCCTGCGCAAGAAGGAGCTCAAGACGGAGTACTGGCCACGCATCACGAAGGAGAAGGTCAAGAGCCACTTTATCAAGACCGACTTTAGCAAGTGGGTCGACGAGGACGAGCAGACCGGCGCCGAGCCTGCGCCCGACGACGACTTTGACCCGATGGGCGGCATGGGTGGTATGGGCGGAATGCCGGGCATGGGCGGTATGCCAGGCATGGGCGGTATGGGTGGCATGCCTGGTATGGGCGGTATGGGCGGTATGGACTTCGAAAAGGTCCGTCTCGTATCAAAGTGGTAGATCATACCGATTGGCTGACGCATAAATTTGCAGATGATGGCCCAGATGGGTGCTGCAGGTGGCGCCGGACCTTCGGGCGAAGAGCCCGAGGACGATTCCGACGACGAGGGCCCACCGCCGCTCGAGGACGCGCCGGAGGCGAAGTAAACACACCAAAAGTTCTTGCCAGGATGCATCGGAAGGGACCTAATGATTGCTTGATGATGCCGAATGTGTATCCGTTTGCCCTCGCACGATAGATGCCCACGTACATAAACAGTTGTTGCTCGCATCTAGCTCTCGAATGTAGTATCTGACGAACATCGTGCACCATCGCAGATCGAGCAAGGCATCTACCTCATCTACTTGGCATCCATCGAACTCTACTAAGATCTATCCTTGTTCCGTTTCGACGGACCGCGATCTTACTATGATTCGTCGATCGTTACCTCCAACTTTCCAACCTTCCAGTTGACGCTGACTCTGGATCAGATCAACATGAGCCATACAATACCCATGGCCACGATGGAATGGCACGAACTTCGTTAAATCCTGGACAATGTAGTCCGGCTTCGCATCCGACTTTTCGAGATACTCCCGCGTATGGGACGTGCACACTGCTAGCGTCTTCGCGCCGGCCGCCCGCCCGGCCTTCAAGCCGGACGGGGCATCTTCTACCACCAAACCTGCCCCAGAAGAAGTCAGTTATACGAGTGCCGGAGAATTATGGAGGTATTAGATGAATCTCACAGTTCTTCGGATCGACTCCGCATTTCTTCGCGCCGGCGAGGTAGGGGTCCGGATGCGGTTTGCCAGCCGACACGTCGTTGGAGGTGACTAAGCCCGCGGGAGGCAAGTCGATACCACATCGACTAAGAGCTTTGGGCGTGTAGATGTTCGAGGCTGGTGAAACCGGTCAAGTTACGGGACTTCTGGGCGCGGCGAGCAGGGACGAACCCGAAGTTACGATTGTCCAGCCATGAGATTGGTCTGAAGCACCGTCACGGATCTCAAAACGGCATATGAGATGGCGTTGATGTTAGGAGGTAGAAATCGGACGCTTACTTGCTTCAATAGGGCGTGAACTCCGGGGAGAACGGTCGGTCCTCCTTCGAGCACCTCGTCCTCAAATCGTACGATCTCAGCCTAGCCACAACGATGATCAGACATGATGCGCGTTAAGTGTGGCACAGCGCGTACCTGCAACTTGTCCTCGTCGTCGATCTTGCACCACTCCTTGAGCGTGTCGTCCAACCTCCGACCGTGCGAAGCATGCGCGACCTCGGTCGCGTTCAGGTCGTAATCGCGCGCGAACGTGTTCCATGCTTTGTACACTCCCGGAGTAGAGTCTATTAGCGTACTGAGCGGGGCATGAGATGATTCCGGAGAATGATGAGGAAGGCCCAGCCCAGCGCTCCGGGTGCCCGAAAGAGGAAGGGACATTCACCCATCCATGTCGAACAAGATCGCGTCCACTGTGATGGTGACCATGGCTCTTTGTATTCGTTTGCGGACGGGGGAGAGTCGGGATGAATTGGTGGACGTTGCTCTGGTCGGAGCGACGAGGGTAAAGAGATCGGTGTAAGGCGAACCCCGGCGACACCGGGCCGCTCTCCCGGACCGATGGCATTACCACAACGGGCACCGCGCCTGCCTCATCCTGAAGCGCGCTGCGTCGGTCGGCGATTATGTCCCAATCATATAGTCCGCCGAGGGTTTCAGACGCGCGATTCATCAAAGCGGTCTGGCCCTCTCAGAGCCATGATGCCCAGTCAAAACACCAGCTGAGGAGCTCAGACGAGAGCTGAGGAGAATAAGATCGTGCTGAGCACGTATGAGCAGGACTGAGCTGGATGGATCTTCCACAACCTTAATCACAGATCGTGGCCCTTTTGAGCTCGTTTTGTCCATTTTTGACTTCGTTGTACACAACTTCGCAACGATGCCGAAATCTACGAAACTTCGACGTCCCGATCTGGCTCCCATGGAGGTACAGCGAAAATGAGAGACTTGGAAAGAATTTTGCCCAAGTCGCGCCGGACGCTTCTTGTCCTCCTACCACCACCATCCCCCGCCTACGCCAATGCCCACACCCACGCAACTCATGACTCACTGTGTCAGCGCAAGCTATCTATGACAGATGAATGGCAAATCCTGCGAGGCTGTAGCGGCCTGTGTGTGAATTAGCACTACAGCTGCTCAGCTGCATACTTGCTGTACGAAACACTCGTGCCTGCCGTGTTTTCCTTGACTATATGCACATGCTGAGGCTCACGCGACACCGTAGAGCAAGAATGGCGAGTCTATGCAACAGAGAATATCACAACAGGTCAAGACATGGTGCCATGCCACGGGAGCGCAAGTTCGGCTTTATGTCGAAGAGCACCAACGAAATTCAATATCACCGTCATCCTAGCCCGTGGTTTCCGTCTGAGAGCGAAACGAAGGTAGGTAAATGCGCATATAAGCTAGCCTCAATGGGTTGAAGAGCTTATATGGTGTGCAGGCATCTTCTTGGTGTTGTGCTTCCCGGTACGTGATCGCCGACTCGTCGGCTGGTAGTAACTCATCGCGCATGCAACTCAGATCACAAGGGCAAGGCCACCCAACAACAGTGGTCAGTCGGGTCCACAACTAGACCGCGGGCCCGCCCCGTCGTGTACTTTGCCGTCCTTGCAGCGTTACGTGCGCGCGCTCTCGCCATGCCGTTTCCAAACTTACGTTGACCATGGCTTCCCTGTTGTCTGCTGTACAGGTGTGTGCAGGCAAGATCATCAGGAGTGCGAGGTGGCAACCCGGTATGTTTGTGACATCCACGATTGGCTCAATACCCAGCTCACTCGCACTGTCTGTAGCGTAGAGACGCTGCTGCGCTGGTACCTGTATTCGACAACTGGTCACTATGATCCCACTGCGTAGATTGGCCGGTGCCGAGTATCTCAGGATAAATTCATGTAAATTACGTAGATGGTGAATAATATAAAACAGTTTTTCTATACTGTATCAAACCATCTGGAAGGCATATCTATATACGCAGCTATGGTCAGTTCTGCTCATATAGATTCCATCCTGCTCAGTTGTGCTCAGCACTGCTCAGCGTCTTAGTCGCTTTTCGCTGAGCCCAGCTGACGTGAACTGAGCAGAGCGGCGGTGCTACCTTGCTCAGCTCTGCTCCGCCCTGCTCAGACGGCGTTTCGACTGGGCATGATGACGCAGGACCGCGTCCCAACTGGAAACGGTCGGGCTTGGCATAACGTTGCGTACCAGCGTCGTCGCCATGAGCATAAAGTACAGCTAGCAGGCAAAGAACAGTCGACAGCTGCGCAGACCACAAATCGTCAATATTCGAGTCGGTTGGGTTTGATTTCAGATCCAAGAGGGCGACGCGGTTACTGCGCGAACTTGATGACCGTTGCTTTACTGCACGATCTTGCAGGCCGGGTTTCCTACTCTGGCGAGGCATTTTTCTCGAGCAAGGCACGAGATGCCCGTGTTTTGCCCAAGCTGCAGTATGCAGCTCAAGTTCTTCGAATGCTGAAGCCGTGATCAGGGCAGTGCTGCTTGAACTTGAGTTCGCACGAGGCAAGGCGATGCGCTGCGCTAGGATCGGCGAGTTCTTCGCCTCTCTTGTGGAAGGCGGCCGTGCAGCTCAATTATAGCCGGACCACCTGAGGTAACAAAGCATGGTTTCACAGTGGTAACGTGACCGTACTTCGTATCCATTGCGATGGATGACCGTTCAACCGCACATGTGGTGTTTGAGATGGTCTCGAGTCGAAGTGTATCTGGCAACGGTTGCCGGCATCGGCAGGCCATCGTGGCACTGGTTTCGTTCCGAGAGTTAGGTCCATCCGAGTCTCATCAAAAGATGTGATGCGAGGCCGCACACGGCGAAGCCATCGGAACGAAGTCGGCACAGCATCACCCCGTCTTGGGCTCGATCCAGCTCGATCCACGGCCATTCAGCCATTCACGCTCCTCCTTTATAAGATGCGGGTGGCCGCCATTGTCCCCTCACCTTTTTATTCGATAGGTCACCTCTTTCTCCTGCACATCTTTCCCGGTTCACGATCAGGCATCGTCCACCGCCAGTCTTTACGACGAACGACTTGACCCGGTGTCTATCCTTCGACTAACGTTCCTTACCCGACTCCCCACGTACTCCCGGATTACCTTGCTATACTCTCAATCATGCGTACCTCAGTCTTCGTTGCGCTTGCGCTCTCCCTCGCGGTCTCCGCCCGCCCCCATCAACGCCGGGCGACGCCCCAGCAGATCCAAAACGGCAAGGATGCCGCAGCTTTGAAGTACGCGCTATCCGTGGCGTTCCACGCTGGTTTCGGCATTGCTGACGGATTTAATCAGCACCAAGTTCGCCTCTTTCAAGGTTGGCGATGCCTGCACCGTGGACGCTTGCATCGGCTCGCAGTTCGCGCCGTGCAGCCAAGGCAAGTTGGTCGCCCAAGACTGCGCACCCACCACGAAGTAAGTGGCGTTTCTGAACCGCGAACCCCCCCGTCGGACATTGATTATCAAAACTTGCGTAGGTGCGCGGCTCTGCCCAACGTCAACAGCGCCGGTACCAGCATCGCCTGCACGACCCAAGCTGACATCGACGCGCGCTTCGCGGCTGCCTCTGACCCCGACGCGACCGCTGCCTCGACCACGGACGCGGCGGCCTCTTCGACCTCGGCCGCGGCGGCGTCTACCGACACCGCCGCTGCGACCGTCGACAACGCGGCGGGCAGCACCGACATCCAGTCGTCGCTGACCCTCGACCCGTCCGTGGTCGCCACCGGCTTCGCCAACGACGGCCAGGACGTCCCCGCCGCAGGCCAGGTCGCATCGCTCACGTCGACCAACAACTTTATCAACTTCTGTGCCGGCCAGACCATCACCAACGGAAAGCAGATCACCACCGGCTCTTGCAACCCCGCGCCGATGGGTCAGCTCCCCGCCACGACCGCGATGCCGTCCTGCAAATTCGTCTTCCCGCCCAACGGCGACGCGTCCCTGAAGGCGAACCAGGCATTCACCATCAAGCTCGCGATCAACAACCTCGAGACCGGCCACTTCGTGAACGCGCAGGAGAACTACTTTGCCGCGCCCCAGCAGCTCAACGCGGCCGGCCAGATCCAGGGTCACTCGCACGTCGTCGTTGAGCAGCTCGACTCCCTGGGACAGACCACCCCCACCGACCCGACCAAGTTCGCGTTCTTCAAGGGCTTGAACGACGCTGCCGTTAACGGCGTCCTCTCCGTTGACGTTACCGGTGGTCTGCCCGCTGGTGCTTATAAGGTGTCGACCATCAACTCGGCCGCTAACCACCAGCCGGCGCTCGTTCCCATTGCGCAGCACGGATCTCTTGACGACGCTGTATACGTGAGTTCTTTTCCTCCCCCAATGTGCCGCCTCGACGCGATACTCACGCATCTGTTGCCCTCATCTAGTTCACGATCAACTAAGCCACGTACCGCGTCTTCACGTTTGGGATCTTGGGAAGCGGCGCACGCGTAATTTATTGAAGTATAGCATAATCACACCCACGCATTGTATACCCGCATGTACGTTTTGTCGGCAGTCTTTGGATACATCGATGTGCGCCTCATTCGCCACGCCGTGTGCTCGAGATGACGGGGCGTCCTTTGACTTGGGTCCAGCGGACGGATGAGTGATGCAGGTCGCGGTCGACGCGATAAAGCGTGATTCGTTCGCGTGTTGTATCCATCACACCGCGCGGAGTCTGGATTCGTCGGACGGTCGCGTCGCACTCCTGGTCCAGTCGAATGGAAAGCTCCGTCGCAAGAGAACGCACGTCGGCAATCTCGGCGTCATATTCCACTCGGTGAGCAAGCGTCATATCTCCCTCCGCTCGCGATCCTGCGGGCTTGACGCTCGAGCTTTGCCCCTGCGGAGGTCAATCAACGGCACTGCGTTGCTGTGCTGAGACCGGCGCAGACTTTGGCTTGGCATGGCCCCGGGGATCACTCTCACAGTGGACTCCACTTGTTCCCATGGTAAGAATAGCTCAATAGAACCCCAAAGAAGCCCCTGCAGGAGTGACAGTCGGTGGATTTCTTACCGCGTTCTCTTCGTTGCCATCGCTCCCGCGCCTCAACGAATCAGCGTGCGACGTTCGGGGCGCCTTATAAGACCTGGCATGCCCGGACAGCGGTAACCCTTCATTCTTCCCCCTTCCCCTCACGTTTTGCTCCCGGCAGCTGTGCTGTTTGCTCCCCTTCGGTGCGTATACACTCGTACTGGCCCCACCGATAAGCGTGCTTACCGCCGCTACTGCCTTGCTCTCGTCGCTGCAGCCCCAGAGGATCCTGCGCCCTTCACCTTCCTGTCTTTTCCAGCCTTCTGTGAAGCAAGCCTTCGTCCTCGACTAAATACACAATGAGGTTCTCTCTGGTCCTTCTTGCTCTCCTCCCCGTCCTCGCCTCCCAGGTCGAGGCTGCCCCGTCAAGTTCCAGCGGGAGCGTCTGGGCACGGCAGCGCGGCGGCAACCGCGCCGGCGCAGGCGGCTTTGGCTTCAATGGCGGTAAGGGTGCCCAAGCCGCCGGTGGCAAGGGCAAGGGCGCTGCTGCTGCTGGCGCTGCTGGTGCCGCCGCGGGTGCGGCTGCCGGTGCTGCTGGTGCTGCTGCAAACAACGCCGGCAACGCCACCGCTGCTGCCGGTGCTGACAACAGCACGGCTACAGCCACTGTATGCGATTTTCCTTCGTTCGGGCGTACATGAGATTGAAATGATCTATTTGATAGGCTACTCCCCCCGCCGGCGACATCCAATCGTCCCTCACGCTTGACCCGTCGGTGATCGCCACCGGCTTCGCCAACGACGGTCAGGATGTCCCCGCCGCCGGCCAGGTCGCGTCCCTCACGTCCACGAACAACTTCATCAACTTCTGCGCCGGCCAGACCATCACCAACGGAAAGCAGATCACCACCGGCTCCTGCAACCCCGCGCCCATGGGCCAGATCGCCGCGAACACGGTGATGCCCTCTAGCAAGTTCGTGTTCCCGCCCAACGGCGACACGTCGCTCAAGGCGAACCAGGCCTTCACCGTCCAGCTCGCGATCAACAACCTCGAGACCGGCCACTTCGTGAACGCGCAGGAGAACTACTTTGCCGCGCCCCAGCAGGTGAACGCGCAGGGCATCATCCAGGGCCACTCGCACGTCGTCATCGAGCAGCTCGACTCGCTCGCGCAGACCACCCCCACCGACCCGACCAAGTTCGCGTTCTTCAAGGGCTTGAACGACGCTGCCGTCAACGGCGTCCTTTCCGCCGACGTCACCGACGGTCTCCCAGCCGGCGTGTACAAGATCTCCACCATCAACTCGGCATCGAACCACCAGCCTGCACTCGTCGCCGTCGCTCAACACGGTTCGCTCGACGACGCCGTTTACGTGAGTTAACACTGCATTCCCCTTCGTGATGAATTATACCGGAAGGCGATGCTGATTGATTGCTTCTCTAGTTCACCGTCAACTAATTGACTGTTTGGTGATCATGATCATGCTCCGTTCTCTCTCGATTGTTGTGTTACTATACGTGATCGCGCCCACGCGGTTCTTTCTTTCGCTCTGCTCTGTCTTGCCTGGTAGTATGCAAAGGATCAGATGCCTCACTTGTGTTTGCGTGCGTGAGCGTAAGATCAACGCGACCATGAGTCAATAATTAAGGTCAAACAAATCGTCAAAGAGAATCCTGCGCTATTTTTGGCATGTGCCCATTCCCGCGTGAATGTCAGTCAGTACGCGCTTGAGCTGCAGCGACCATGTCCGCATACCGTCCGCCCGTGTTTCCTCGAGCCCAGCAGGCGCAAATTAGTGTGTGTTCCGGCGCAGGTGTATCGTCCGGGCGAAGTGATAACAACTATATGCAGTCCGGGCAAATCAGCGCGATCTGTTCCATGTGGCCTCATTGAGAGAGCAAACGGAGAACGTCTTCCGTTCTTGGTTTGGTGAGCACCTCAAGGTCAGGCTATGGACCGGCGTTGAACCTTGTGATGCATAGGTACCCGATGGCTGAGCCGCTGGGACAAGGAGATAGACCTCTTCACCAAGCTCGTCTACTATGGCTTCACGACCGGTCGCGGTATGCGTCGCCTGTATGAATTTCACTCATCATGCCCTCTGACAAGGGTGTACACAGCTACGCAGAGCCTCGGGGAAGAATACACCGACATATGGCAGCATTCGGCGCGAACCGAACGACTCCCGGGTTGGCGTTTGCGTGCCGCCCTCGTGCTGCTCCCATCGGTGCCGTCGTACGTGCTTGCAAGATGGGGCGCGCGGCTGTCGAACGGAACGTCGCGTACCGCCAGACTCATGCACGCGCTTCCTACCGCCCTCGAAATCGCGTCGGAGGTGAACCTGGCCGTGTTCTACCTGCGAGGCACGTATTATGATGTCTGGAAGCGTTTGCTCGGGATTCGACATGTGAGCCTTCTTTACCTTTCCATGGTCCCGGACCCTTCATGACGAGATACGGGGGGAAAAAAAACTTGAATAGCTGTCCTCGACGCCGGAAAACCCGCATACACGCCCTCCGTCCTATTCACTGCTCGGTGTCCTCCTCGCCGTCCGTCTGATCCACCGCATCGTCGTGTTCCTCCGCTCCCGGCAGACAAAACCGGAAGACGTACCCCCCTCGCAGAAGGTTCCGCAGCTGAACGCCACGAGCGAGACATACTTGGACGACCGGCCCGTCTCGTCGCTCCTTGGGCCATCGAACGCGGACGAGGAGCCCGTCGTGCAGGCCGAGGACGACGAACACACTGTCCTCGATATCTCACTGATCCCGCCGGCTTTGCGAGCAGGTCGGCAGTGCACGCTGTGCCTCGAAGAGAGGACGTCGAGCTGTGCGACGGAGTGCGGACACCTCTTTTGCTGGAACTGCATCGTGGGCTGGGGACGCGAGAAGGTGAAAGTACCATGTGAACTGTACGGAACTCCTGAAACTAACGTGCCCTCCAGGCGGAGTGCCCGCTGTGCAGGCAGGCACTGAATTTGGCCCGGTTACTTCCGATATACAACCTGTAGCGCTCGATGACTCTACAATCCTGACTTCGCTTTGCCTTTGCTATTATCTGCAGTCGCGAGGTGTCACTCCTAAATACATGTAATTTACTTTTGGGTTACAGCACATCCGCCTACGACCTCCAGCACCTTCCATTCAACCTCAATGCCCTCCTTCTTGAAGATCTTGCGCGCGTCCTCCGCTATCGCTTCGAAGCCTCCTGTGGCGAGGGCAAGGATGGTTGGGCCCGCGCCGGACAGGCATATGCCCAGTAGACCGGGATGCGTTTGGGGTGTTATCTGACTGGTGACTTCGGGCAAGCCGGGAATCTGGAGTGAAATCAGCCCCGCGAAATTCAGCCCCGCCGCGCATAGTTGCATGCCATGAGAAAAAGGCGTACCAGGGTCTTGCGATAAGGCTGATGTATCCGGTCCTTCATGGCTTCGTAGATCAGCTCCGGATCGGGAGGCGATTGACCGAGCGCCGTTGTTAGTACCGCTAGTCGTTGGAGATTGAACACCTGTACAAGATACCGAGCTTTACGGTGGCGCAGGGAATGATCATGCGCGACGACGTACCAGGTCCTTCCGAGAGTATTGGGTGGGCAAGACGTCTCGTGCTTTTGCGGTGCTCAGCTCAAACTGCGGGATGATCGCGACCGCCTTGATGCTCTGCTCCCACTTGAACCGCACGTAGTGTCCGATTCCCGTAGGCGGCAGGGGAGGGTTCAAACCCCATTCCTCGCCCGCATCCGGTGGGTACTCCGGCAGCACTTCGCTAAGGGGCACGCTCGCGGCCTCGGTCGCCTCTGCATCGAGTTCGCGCAGATACGATCCGACGAAACCCCCGACGAGCGCCGCGGTGACGTTGTCCGGATGACGCTCTACCATGAGCGCGAAGTCAAGCAGACGTTCGGTAGACAGCCCGAGTTGCCCCAGTTCGTTTCCCAACAGGACTCCCGCTATCACCGCCGCACCGCTCGAGCCCAGTCCTCTTCCGAAGGGGATCTCGTTGTGCGCGTGCATGGTGGTGATGGAGGGGAAAGTGCGCACGCCGTTGCATCGGAGCACGTAGAGCGCGACACGGGTGGTGAGGTTTTTGTACGCGTCCAGGGGTACCTCATCGGCGCCTTCGCCGGAGTAGGTGATGATCGGGGCTGCACGTTCGGATTCAGAGGTTGAAACGGTGACCGTGAGGGTCAAGTAGAGCGAGAGGGAGAGCCCGACGACGTCAAACCCTGGGCCAATGTTTGCGGACGTCGCGGGGACGCGGATAGCAAAGGTCCTGCTGCTGGACGTCATGATTTCAACCGCGATTGTTTGCGTGCAGCCTGACGCTGGTCGAGAGGGAGTGCCAAGGCCATGATTGAACGCGACAGTCTTCAGTCAAGCTGCAATCTCTTTTCGGCCGATCGAAAACAACTACTTGATCTATCGCCTACGCTTGTCTTCCGCGGATGTAGACAAAGGTTGCATGAATACCGAACTACAGGCAGAGCAGTATATGTACGGTGAAGGAACACTAGTCGCAACAGACGGTATGCTTCCGAAACATTACCCATAAAATACAAGATGGCATGCAGACGGGACCGCACAAGCTCAGATAAGCTCGGCGGCGTTCACCGGCATCTCGTCCTGAAGAGAGGTTGAGAGATGGACTGGAGCGAGAGCGACGGAACAGACGTACGATCTGAGTACTGTAGAACTGCTCTGTTGGCAAAGCGAGGGATCAGCATCGCGATCAGGCTACGATTATTCGCGGTCCACTCACCTATGTCACGAAGGATTTTGACGTCTTCCACAGTGACGAACTATTATAACAATCAATATTTCCGTCTTTGGCATTTGGTCCAAGCTCCTCACGTTGATTGCTACACCCTTGCGTCCGAAACGGCCGGAACGACCGATGCGGTGAATGTAGTTTTCACGATTTCTACGGGAACGTTCAGGATGCGAGCCGTAAGAACCAAACTGCGTACGCACGATGGCAAATCGTAGTTGATAACCAACGAAACCTGTTGAACATCGATACCACGCGCCCAGACGTCGGTGGTGATGAGTACACGCCTGGTATGGGCGTTCAGCATCGTCAGCATCGTCTCGACAAGTCCACATCCCGACTACACGTACGATGTTCCACCACGGAATTCCGCCATGATCGCGTCTCGCTCCTTCTGAACCATCTCGCCGTGCATGGACGAGACCGTGAAATTCGCGGCCCGCATCTTCTCCGTTAGCCAGTCTACCTGTCAATCAGGTTAGTATCACAGAATCATATGCGCATATAGGGTGACATACCTTTCTCCTGGTGTTGCAGAAGATCACAGCTTGCGTAATGGTGAGGGTATCGTAAAGGTCGCATAGGGTGTCAAATTTCCAATCTTCCTTCTCAACGGCGACGAAGAACTGCTTGATTCCCTCCAGAGTCAATTCATCACGCTTCACGAGGATCCGAATGGGGTCGGTCATGAACTTCGTGGTCATCTCGAGCACATCGTAAGGGAGCGTCGCACTGAGCAACACGACCTGTGTCGCGGGGGGAAGGTACCGGTAGACGTCGTATATCTGGTCCTTGAAGCCCTTGTTGAGAAGCTCGTCCGCCTCGTCCAGTACGAGCATTTTGATGTTTCTGGTGCGAAGACTCCTCCGGCGGATCATGTCGAACACTCGTCCTGGCGTTCCGGACACGACGTGTTGCCCGTATTCCAGCTTCCTGATATCCTCGCCGATGGACGTGCCGCCAATGCATGCGTGACACTGAACGTTCATGTAGTCGCCGAGGGCGAGCACGACCGATTGAATCTGGGTCGCCAGTTCGCGCGTCGGAGACAGAACGAGCGCCTGCGTTTCGCGGACGGTGACATCGATGGATTGAAGGATGGAGATGGAGAAGGTGGCGGTTTTACCGGTACCGGACTGCGCTTGGGCAATTACGTCGCGGCCTTGGATGATGGGGAGGATGGCGCGCTGCTGGATGGCGGAGGGTTTTTCGAAGTCTAGGAGTGCTGTGAGGTAGAAAAGGACAAGAAAGATGCCGTGCACGTACTGTAAGCGTAGATACCACGTAGGAGGTCCTCCTTCAGTCCTAGGTCATCGAAAGTTGAAACGACAGAGACTGCCTCCGACGATTCGAAGACGAGTTTCTGAGCGCCCACGACGTTGCGTCAGAACGCGCAAATTGGTGATCACTATGGGCGTACCTCGTCGCCAGCGTTTATTCCAGACATGAAGTGCGGGCAGAGGTGATAGTCTCAAGTCAACCGAGCCTGCTTACCTCGGCGGTGCAACGCGCGCGTCAAAACTTCGAGTCCTGACGTTACACCGACGAGCGCTTGTCCGTCCCCCACAACATTCAGCGAACATTCCAGACGAAATGGCACACAGGGTACAGGGACAAGGCGCAGAGCCCTCCGTGTGGCAAAAGAGTGCGTATGCACACCTGACTACATTGGTGAATGTCTGGCAATGCTAACGACCTTCGGCAGTGAAGTATGCTCTACCTACTTTGGCCGAAGTTTGGAGACTCAATGAACATACTGGACTGCTCGTCTCTTTAGGATGGGTGCCATGATGGGCACTGGTGTTGGCCTGACTATTGGTTTCATCTTCGGTTCATATAGTATTCTCCGGTACGTGCTCCAAACCCGCGAACCTTCCTGTGCTGATGGTTTGCAGGGGTGGTGCTGGCCCTCGGGGTGTCATGGCTACGCTGTCCCAGTACATGCTCAGCAGTGCGGCAACTTTCGGTTTCTTCCTCTCAATCGGCTCGGTGAGTGAACCATGCCCAGTGCTCCGAGCTGGTCGTGCACGGCACGTTGACCGAATGGGTATCTCAGGTCATTCGCAATGATGGGTTGGTTCCTCCACACCTGGAAGCTGCGAGACTCCAGATGCTGCCGCCTGTGCTCCGGTCCAGAGCGGAAGGCGCGGCGCTGGTCAGGGCAAGATGGCAAGCGGAGAAGACTAGGAGAGAATAATAATGCCCTGAAGTATCAGGTGGTCTGTGCTGTACCATGTTTTCCACATCGTTGTTGGCTGAAGATTCTAATGCATTCCGAATTCATGTTTGGCGCAAGCGTACGAGGTAACTTTCCGCGCGACCGATGTCCGGAACAAGCAGGATTTGTGATTACAAGGACAAAGGCCAAAGAGCGACACACAGGCGATGTATGACAACGACTTATACAACTTGTTGGATAAGCGTGATGTTGTCTCCTTTGAGCAAGATTCGGCCTGTGGAAAATCGTATTAAAATCGCACGCGAGCACTGAGTGGTCATCGCTCACCAATTTCTCTCCGTGGCTTCGCCTCCTTAACGTACACTTCTGCAGCCTCGTCCATAACAACGTTCATGAATTCGTCGAAGCCCTATAACAGAATATAGAAACGCGTGTGAGCGACAGTAGCCTTCGTGAAGCCTTAGATGACAAGAAGAAGCGTGAACGACGGAGTGTATGCCATGCAAGGCGCCCGACACGTTTCATGAGATGGAACGGTGCAGGTCGGCCTTTGATGCGCAGGTTTAACCCGGGTGGTATGCATGTGGGGTAGATTGACGCACAATTATCCGGCCCTCGATGCGCATTTCGATGTTGTCGTACAACCATACGACGACTTTTTGGCGCTGCAGATCGGTGTTAGCGTTTCGCAGCATCATTGTGGTGCACATATATATGCCTGCTGCAGGTTTTTGAAGATGACATTCTGCAGATGGTTCATAAAACATGAGATTCATAGGCGCTGGTGCACCAGAGCGAAGGTCTACTGACGATGGGCTGGACCATCACACGCTGCTGACGTCCCGACATCTTGGCAAATGTTCCGCGATGTATATATCGAACAGCAAAGGATGTCTAGGTGACCGAGTACTCGTCGAGGGAGGAGACGAAGCCGATGAGTGGCACGTGGCTCGCGCGTCCCAAAAAGCGAGCACTGCAGTTGCGGAGACGCGTTGCTCACGACAACGACGATGGAGGTTCGTGCTGCTGAAGTTACGCGTGTCATCAAATTCTAATTTGCGTATGGACTAATTTGCAGGTCTTTGCGCCCTCCAACTCGTCGACCGCCGCGGCGGTTACCTTCATCACTTTCGTGCAAGACCTCAAGCGCAAATCCAAAGCATGGGGCCCCATGATCGAGCTATGCGCAAGCGGCGAGAAGACGCTCGAACGATTTCGATACCAGTTCCCGGATGATTGGCTGTACAGCGACCAACTACGGGGGGAATGGAGTGCGTATAATGAGATATTGAAGAGGAAGAACGATTCGATTCAGGAGCAACTCTGTACGTGGCATCAAGACCTATTGCATACGGGTTTCACCGTGCTGACGATGCCGACAGCTGGCCTACAACTCAAGATCACCGCCGAAGACAAGATTGTCGAGAACAAGATCAACGACGTTATAGCCGAATGGGAGCAAACACGTCCTGTGCAAGGCAACATGCGAGCCGACACGGCGATGAACACCATCAATATCTTCGAAGGCAAGCTTACCCGTGTACAGGAAGAATACGATCTCGTCTGTCGCGCCAAGGAGGCCCTCGACCTCGAGCTCATCCGGCACACTCGCCTCGAACCCGTCTTCGAAGAGCTTCGAGACCTGAAGGCCGTATGGACAGCCTTGAGCGGGGTGTGGAGTCAGATTGGCGAGTTGAGGGAGATCCCATGGGCGACGGTGCAACCGCGGAAGCTGAGGACTCAGATTGACGGATTACTGAGCTCAACAAAGGATATGCCCACGCGGATGAGGCAGTATGCAGCGTTTGAGTACGTGCAAGATGTACTCAAGGGCCTGCTCAAGAGCAATACTATCGTGTCGGAGCTCAAGTCGGACGCTCTGAAAGACCGCCACTGGAAGCAGCTGTTCAAGGTGTTGAGGCTGCCAAGTCAGCCGAGTCTGTCTCTGTATGTGTTCTTGTGCATGGTACGCAACCCTGCTGACCCTGGTGGCTGTTCCACTCGCAGGATGACTTTGGGTCATGTCTACGACCTTGACTTGAAGCGTAACGAGACGTTGATCAAGGAGGTTATTATACAAGCGCAGGGCGAGGTATGTGGGTTTTGTCCACCGGACTATACCCGTTGCTGAACATTACGCTGCAGATGGCGCTCGAAGAATACATCAAACAGGTCAAGGAGACCTGGACTAGCTATACGCTAGACTTGGTTAACTACCAGAACAAGTGTCGGCTCATCAGGGGATGGGACGACCTCTTCAACAAATGCGGAGAGCATCTCAACTCACTCACCGCTATGAAGCTTTCTCCGTACTACAAAGGTCCGTTCTTCCTGGTGCAAGTGAACCGAACTCATCATCTATACAGTCTTCGAGGAGGAAGCCAGCTCTTGGGAAGAGAAACTGAACCGCATACATGTCCTCTTCGGTATGTCACATGCAGTTTGGTCCTTTCGCTTGCTGACTACGCACAAGACGTGTGGATTGACGTCCAGCGTCAGTGGGTATATCTCGAGGGTATCTTCTCCGGAAGCGCGGATATCAAACACCTGCTTCCCGTTGAGAGCGCCCGTTTCCAGAACATCAATACAGAGTTTCTCGCCGTTATGAAGAAAGTCTACAAATCTCCCTTCGTCCTCGACGTCATGAACATTCCCGCTATCCAGAAGAGTCTCGAGCGTCTTGCTGATCTATTGAACAAGATACAGAAGGCGCTCGGAGAGTACCTCGAACGGGAGCGTGCCAGTTTCCCGCGATTCTACTTCGTTGGTGACGAGGATCTACTCGAAATCATCGGTAATAGCAAGGAGATCCTGCGGATAATGAAGCATCTGAAGAAGATGTTTGCGGGTATATCAACGGTTCTGCTGGACGACGAAGTGACGCAGATACAGGGGATGACATCAAGGGAGGGCGAGGAAGTACCTTTCACGACGCCGATTCTGCTCAAGGAATTTCCCAAGATCAACGATTGGTTAGCCAAGATCGAGTCGGAGATGAGGTTATCCCTAGCCAACCTGCTCTGCGACGCAGTCGCCGAGCTGCAAGAATTCTATAACGTTGGTCGCCAGCTACCGCTGGAAACCTTTCGCGCATGGATGGAGAAATATCCCGCACAGCTTGTTACGCTCGCCATCCAGGTCGCTTGGACAGCATCCATTGAAAGCGCTCTCGAAAGTTCGCAGTCTCTGGATGGCCCCCTCAGTACTATCATTCAAGGTCTTGGTCTCCTTGCTGACGTCGTTCTCATGGAGCTCGCTCCTGTCACTCGTCGCAAATGCGAGCATCTGATCACGGAACTGGTCCACCAACGTGACGTTACTCGCATCCTCATCCAAGAGAAGGTCGCGGACAATAAAGCGTTTTCCTGGCTTTATCAAATGCGCTTCTACCTGGACCGAAACCTCGAGAATCCACTCGACAGGCTCTCAATTAGAGTAGCAGAGACAAGTTTTCCATACGGATGGGAGTATCTGGGCGTGCCAGATCGGCTGGTGCAGACCCCCTTGACAGACAGGTGTTATTTGACCCTGACCCAGGCGCTCGACAAGCAACTTGGAGGCGCGCCGTTCGGGCCTGCTGGAACTGGTAAAGATACAACCGCGTATCCGAGTGTTCGAGTTACTGACCATGCCTCGTAGGCAAGACCGAGTCCGTTAAGGCCCTTGGAGTACAGCTTGGGCGCTTCGTACTCGTCTTCTGCTGCGACGAAACGTTCGACTTCCAAGCAATGGGGCGCATTTTCGTCGGGCTGTGTCAAGTGGGAGCGTGGGGCTGCTTCGACGAGTTCAACCGTCTTGAAGAACGAATTCTCAGCGCAGTCTCTCAGCAAGTTCAAACCATCCAGCAAGGTCTCGCGGCTTTGGTCAAGAATCCAAACACCGAGATCGAGCTCGTGGGCAAGAATCTAAAGCTTAACAAGAACATTGGTACGCACTCAAGGACATGTAGAATTTACGTTGCTCAAAACGTCGCATAGGTATCTTCATCACAACCAACCCGAACTACGCCGGTCGGTCACAGTTGCCACCCAACCTGACCAAACTTTTCCGACCGTGAGCACATCTTCGCATCGAGCTGCAATATTCGCTCACGCACGACTTAGGATGGCCATGACGCGACCGGATCGGGAACTCATCGCCCAGGTCATGTTGTTCTCGCAGGGTTTCCGAACAGCGGAGTCACTCGCTTCGAAAATAGTTCCTTTCTTCAACCTTTGCGACGAGCAACTGTCGCCGCAACCCCATTATGACTTCGGTCTTCGCGCGCTCAAGGCTGTCTTAGCCAGTGCAGGTATCCTCAAGCGTGAACGACTGCAATCCGATCGCGACAGCGCCGACCAAGCAAATGGTGCCGATGCCCACTCTGACATCGTTTCCGAACAAGTCATCCTGATCCAGAGTGTAACGGAGACCATTGTTCCCAAGCTTGTTGCTGATGACGTACCTTTATTGACGAGGTATGCACCATTCTCGTCGACAAGATTGCGATACTGACAAGAACATCCCAGTTTGTTGGCGGACGTGTTCCCTGGAGTTGATTATGAACCTGTTGACTTAGGTGCTCTGAAGGAACAGATTGTGAAAGTGTGTTCTGAGCGTCGTCTGGTCACGGGCGAGCGCTGGGTTGCAAAGATCTTGCAGCTCTACCAGATTCAGAAGATTCAACACGGTCTCATGATGGTTGGCCCGTCCGGAAGCGGCAAGACGAATGCATGGCAGGTTTTACTAGCAGCCTTGGAGAGGTTCGACGGTGTAGAGGGAATTGCATACGTCATCGATCCAAAAGCCATGCACAAGGACGCTCTTTATGGCACACTTGACCCCACTACGCGTGAGTGGAACGACGGTCTATTCACACATATCCTGCGCAAAATCGTGGACGACGTACGAGGCGAAAGTGGCAAACGACACTGGATTATATTCGACGGCGATGTCGACCCTGAGTGGGTCGAAAACTTGAACAGGCAAGTCAATCTCATGCTAATCCCGCCTCTCTTGATGTTCTGACTTCTTCCGTGAAGTGTACTCGACGACAACAAACTATTAACATTGCCTAATGGCGAGCGCCTGAACTTACCGCCGAATGTTCGTATCATGTTCGAAGTCGAGCACCTTCGATACGCAACTCTGGCTACGGTCAGTCGCTGCGGCATGATCTGGTTCAGTGAGGATGTAGTCGAGCCTCCCATGGTTTATCGTCACTACCTTGACACATTATCGGCTGTTGCACTCGACGCCGATGAAGACGAAGCATTGGACGTCGTTGGGCGTCGTGCGGAAGCCACCGATGCAGCAATCTCTGCAAATCTGACCACTCAACAGCAAGTCGCTGCCCTATTGGAGCCGTACTTCGCGGAAGGCGATCTCGTTAGCTCTGCTCTCGCTTTCGCGGAATCCATCGAACATATCATGGACTTCACTGCGACTCGCGCGCTCAATACGCTCTTCTCTCTCATCAACAAGACAGTGCGAAACATCGTGGAATACAACATTCATCACCCCGATTTCCCGTTATCTCCGGAACGCGTCGAACAATATGCGACGAAGCGTCTTCTCCTCAACATTATCTGGGCGTTCTCAGGTGACGCCAAGCTGGATCTGCGCTCAGAAATGGGTGACTTCCTTCGCAAGCAAACTGGGATCGATCTCCCACCCATGCCTCCTGGCAGCTCTTTGCTGGACTATGACGTGCAGGTAGCGAACGGCGAATGGACCCCGTGGCAGGGCAAGGTGCCTGTGATCGAGATTGAAGCCCAAGCGGTGACCGCGTCCGATGTTGTGGTACCCACTGTTGACACCATCCGACACGAGGAAGTCCTATACTCCTGGTTGTCAGAACACAAGCCTCTTCTACTCTGCGGGCCTCCTGGTTCGGGGAAAACAATGACCTTATTCAGTGCATTGCGCAAGTTACCGGACATGGAGGTGGTCGGCTTGAACTTCTCCAGTGCTACCACACCCGAGCTCATACTCAAGACCTTCGAGCAGTACTGCGAGTATCGGAAGACACCCAATGGCGTGGTTCTTGCCCCTGTGCAGATTGGTCGATGGCTTGTCGTCTTCTGCGACGAGATCAACCTGCCTGCTGCGGACAAATACGGCACGCAACGAGTGATTTCATTCATTCGCCAACTTGTGGAATGCAATGGCTATTGGCGGGCAAGCGACAAGGCATGGGTCAAGCTTGAACGTATCCAATTCGTTGGCGCTTGCAATCCTCCCACCGATCCTGGTCGTGTACCGCTCAGTCATAGATTCCTTCGCCACGCGCCACTTGTCATGGTGGACTACCCGGGAGAATTGTCACTCAAACAGATCTATGGCACATACATCCGTGGTGCCCTGAAGGTCGTCCCGAATCTCCGCGCCTACTCCGAGCCACTCACCAATGCCATGGTGGATTTCTACCTGGCTTCGCAATCGCGCTTCACTACCGATGCTCAGGCACATTATGTTTATAGTCCTCGTGAGCTCACCCGATGGGTACGTGGTGTCTATGAGGCAATTCGTCCTCTGGAGATTCTGTCTGTGGAAGGTCTCGTCCGCGTATGGGCACATGAGGCTTTACGACTCTTCCAAGATCGACTTGTGACTGAGGAGGAGCGCCGCTGGACTGATGAACAGATCGATAACATTGCGATGGAGCACTTCCCGACGATCAATCGTGACGACGCGCTTGTCCGACCTATCCTGTTCTCTAACTGGACCTCCAAGTACTACATTCCCGTTGACCGAGAGTCGCTGCGCGACTACACCAAAGCCCGCCTTCGCGTATTCTACGAGGAAGAGCTGGACGTTCCCCTGGTCCTATTTAACGACGTATTGGATCATGTACTACGCATTGATCGAGTCTTCCGTCAAGTCCAGGGTCATCTGTTACTCATTGGAGTAAGCGGAAGCGGCAAGGTTCGTCTCCACTGAGGTTGAGTGAGGGGCGACATCTCACTTAACTCTACAGACTACCTTATCGCGTTTCGTCGCGTGGATGAACGGCCTCAGCATTTTCCAGATCAAAGTATCTAACAAGTACACAGGGGACGACTTCGATGACGATCTGCGTACCGTTTTACGACGCGCAGGGTGCAAGGGCGAGAAGATTTGTTTTATCATGGACGAATCCAACGTACTCGACTCCGGCTTCTTGGAGCGCATGAACACCTTGTTGGCTAATGCCGAAGTACCCGGCCTTTTCGAGGGTGACGAGCACGCTGCTCTGATGACAGCATGTAAAGAGGGGTCGCAGCGTGACGGTTTGATGCTGGACTCGCACGAGGAACTTTACCGGTGGTTCACCCAACAAGTCGCTCGCAATCTGCACGTCGTTTTCACGATGAACCCACCGGAAAATGGCCTTGCCTCGCGAGCGGCGACTTCTCCCGCCTTATTCAATCGCTGCGTACTTGACTGGTTTGGTGACTGGTCCGACCAGGCGTTCTATCAGGTTGGCATGGAATTCACCCAAACATTGGACTTGGATTTGGCGTCCTACACGCCCCCTATTCACTTCCCAATTGCATACCGCGAACTCGCTATGCCGCCCCTCCATCGTACGGCAGTCGTAAATGCTCTGGTATTCGTGCACCAGAGCATGCACCAGATTAATCAGCGGCTCAGCCGGCGGCAGGGACGATACAATTATGTGACTCCTCGCCATTACCTCGATTTGTGAGTTATTTTCGCACCCCTGGCGCCCTAAAGTGGCCATGCTTACGCCATGCCTCAGCATTCATCATTATGTCCGACTATATAACGAAAAGCGCAATGAGCTCGAGGAGCAGCAACGCCACCTGCATGTTGGTCTGGACAAATTACGCGACACGGTCGAGCAAGTCGAGGAGCTTCGCAAAAGTCTTGCAATCAAGCGCACCCAATTGGAGGCAAAGAACGCGGAGGCGAACGAGAAACTTAAGCAGATGGTCACTGACCAACAAGAGGCCGAATCGAAGAAAAAGGCTTCCATCGAAATTCAAGCGGCCCTCGTCGAGCAAGACAAACATATCGCGCAACGTCGTGAGATTGTCATGGCAGATCTTGCGGATGCGGAGCCCGCCGTACTTGACGCTCAGTCGGCAGTGAGTGGCATCAAAAAGCAACAGTTGCAGGAAGTTCGGGCTATGGCGAATCCTCCGGAGGCGGTGAAACTGGCCATGGAGTCGGTTTGCACGATCCTTGGACACAAGATCGACGGCTGGAGGACAGTGCAAGGCATTATACGCCGAGATGATTTCATCCAAAGAATCGTCAACTTCGATACCGCCAATCAGATGACCAAAGCCCATCGGGACCTCATGAAGAAGGACTTCCTTAGCAGACCGTCGTTCAACTTTGAAACAGTCAATCGCGCCAGTAAAGCTTGTGGTCCACTTGTGAAATGGGTGCTCGCGCAAGTCAAGTTCTCGGAGATACTCGATCGCGTCGAGCCATTGCGCAATGAAGTGCAGTCGTTGGAGGAACAGGCGGAGAATACGAAGAAGCAAGCTGCCATGATGGTTAAGATGATCTCCGAACTGGAAGCCAGTATTCAGAAGTATAAAGAGGAGTACGCGCTTCTCATCAGCGACACGCAAGCAATCAAGGCGGAGATGGATCGAGTACAGGGCAAAGTCGACCGGAGCATGAAGCTCTTGGAGTCCTTATCCTCAGAGCGAGGCCGATGGGAAGCTGGCAGCCGTACCTTTGACGCCGAGATGAGCACGATTGTCGGCGATGTGCTGCTTTCCGCCGCCTTCCTTGCATACGGTGGCTTCTTCGACCAGCACTACCGCGAGGTCATGTGGCACGAATGGTCCAATCACCTCACCGAGGCCAACATCAAGTTCAAGCCGGAGCTTTCATTCGCTGAGTACCTATCTACCGCGGACGATCGTCTCAGTTGGCAGTCGAAGTCCCTACCTTCCGACAGCCTGTGCACGGAGAACGCCATTATGTTGAAGCGCTACGATCGTTACCCCCTCATCATCGATCCCACTGGTCAGGCTACCTCGTTCCTTCTCAACGAGTACAAGGACCGCAAGATTACTGTCACCAGTTTCCTGGACGAAGCGTTCCTGAAAGTCCTCGAGAGCGCTCTCCGTTTTGGAAATCCTTTGCTGATCCAGGACGTGGAGCATCTGGACCCGATCCTCAACCCAGTCCTCAACAAGGAAATCAGGCGAACCGGCGGACGTGTACTGATCAGACTCGGCAATCAAGATATCGACTTCTCGCCTGCCTTTACAATGTTCTTGACCACCAGGGATCCCTCGGTTGAGTTCTCTCCGGATATTTGCAGTCGAGTCACCTTCGTGAATTTCACGATGACCAGAAGCAGTCTGCAAAGCCAATCGCTGGATCAAGTCCTTAAGGTTGAACGCCCTGATACAGAAAGGAAGCGCACGGACCTTATGAAGATCCAGGGCGAGTTCCGCCTTCGACTTCGAACATTGGAAAAGCTGCTCTTGCAAGCGCTCAACGAGTCTTCTGGCAATATCCTTGACGACGACAAGGTCATCGATACGCTCGAGACGTTGAAACGAGAGGCTGCAGAGATCACTCGCAAGGTGGAGGAAACCGACGTCGTGATGAAGGAGGTCGAACAGGTTACCGCAGAATACCTGCCTCTGGCGCAAGCCTGCAGTTCTGTGTACTTCATCCTGGAACAGCTCAATCTCGTCAACCACCTCTATCAGTTCTCCTTGCGATTCTTCCTCGATATATTCGATTACGTGCTCCATCAGAACCCACATCTCAAGGGCATCACCGATTATATTCAACGTCGTGACGTTTTATTGAACGACCTTTTCCTCGTGGTATACCAGCGTACATCCAGGGCACTCTTCCATCGCGACCAGCTGATTTTGGCAGTTCTTTTGGCTCAGGTGAAGTTGCGCGGCATCGACGAAATCCACGACGAACTGGAGTTTTTGCTGGAAAGTGGAGAAGGAATCATGCTCAACGATAGCCAAGACGCTTCACCTATCCTGACTGAGGAACAGTCGCTTCGCCTGCAGACCTTTGCGAAGGACGAGATATTCAAGCCCGTCAAGAAACACATTCAGGAGAACGAAAGTGACTGGATACCGTTCCTCGAGTCTCCCGCACCTGAGAATATTGTACCGTTACCGTGGGACCCCTCTTCTCGTGAGTGCACGTCTTCAGGTTTCAGGTTGAGGCGCATCGACTGACTGTCCCCCCAGCTGTGATTGACGCCTTGCGTGGAGTGCTCGTCATCAAATGCCTGCGACCCGACAGGCTGTTGCAAGCCACTACGCGCTTCGCGCAGATCGCGCTCGGTACAGACCTTGCAACCCAGGTTGAGTACAGCCTCGCGGCGATGGTTGCAGACGAAGTGCTCGCCGCCACCCCCGTTGCTCTAATTTCCGTGCCCGGTTACGATGCTAGTTATCGAGTCGAGAATCTTGTGCAGGATAACGGCACTCGATGCGCTTCCGTTGCAATGGGTTCACAGGAAGGCTTCACGCTTGCTGACCAGGCAATATCGCTGGCTGCTCGCCAAGGATCCTGGGTGCTGCTCAAAAATGTCCACCTTGCACCCGCGTGGTTGGGTCAACTCGAGAAGAAGTTGCAGACGCTCAACCCCCACCGTAACTTCCGCCTCTTTTTGACCATGGAAGCTAATCCCTCGATACCGGTCAACATCCTTCGCCAATCACGCCTGATTATGAATGAACCCCCTCCAGGCATCAAAGCCAACCTGCTCGATTCGCTGCGTAGCATCGGTGGGCCCCGTGTCTCGCAAGGTCCTGCAGAGAAGGTCCGCCTCTATTTCCTGCTGGCATGGTTCCATGCGATCGTCCAGGAGCGCCTGCGATACGTGCCATTGGGTTGGAGCAAGACATACGATTTCAACGACTCCGACATGCGCTCCGCATGCAACACCATAGACATATGGCTCAACGCAGCGGCTCGCGGTCGGGCCAACATTGATCCAGCCGCTATCCCTTGGGATGCCGTCCGTGCCCTCATTAAGCAGGCCGTCTATGGCGGTCGCGTTGACAGCGACTTCGACCAAAGGGTCTTGGATGCGTTCGTTGACGGTTTGTTCACCCCGTCTGCGTACAACGTCGACTTCAATCTCGTGCCCGGCGTTAGCGGATCCCAAGCGCTGACTGCTCCCGATGGCACGAAGATCGAGCATTTCTTGAGCTGGGTGACAGGTCTACCGGACCGCGAACCACCCTCTTGGCTAAGCTTGCCACCGACAGCGGAACGAGTCATTGCCATCGTGAAAGGTTTGCCTCTACCTAGCCGCCTGAACCACGGCTAATATCTCACCAGGTAACGAGTTGCTTGGCAACTTGCGCAAGATGCGAACTTTGGAGGACGATGACGACGAGGCACCTATCGCAGGCCCTGCCGCGACCCAGGCTACGCAGCAGCCAGCATGGATGAGGCAACTTCACGAGCGATGCAAGGAATGGCTTGCTCTCTTACCGGCGGTATGCCTGTCCTCGTGTCTGCTATGTGAACTACGGCTAATTCCGTTCTAGAACTTCAACACGCTGTCGAAGCCAACTACTGAGAATCAGGACCCGCTGTACCGTCTATTCCACCGCGAGGGCATGATAGGAAGCAAACTATTATCGCAAGTTCGGAGGGATCTCACAGACGTGATCAAAGTGTGCCAAGGAGAACTCAAGCAGACCAATCACCTACGCACATTAATGAGCGAACTCACCAAAGGTCAGTCAGGTTTTATGTTTTACTCATGCCTCGCTCATACTTTCTCGATTCTCGCAGGCGCTATACCGACGCATTGGAAGCGATATAAGGTTCAGAAAGGCATGACTGTATCGGAGTGGATTCCTAACCTGGCGCGCCGTCTTGGACAACTCGATCACATTGCTGGCCTAGAAAACCTCAACAACCTCGAAGTCTGGCTGGGCGGTCTCTTCTTCCCCGAAGCGTATATTACAGCTACTCGTCAAGCTGTAGCCCATCGCAAGAAATGGAGTCTCGAGACTCTTAGATTATACTTGGACATCGAACAAATCAACGATCCAGGCGCTTTCATCGTGGACGGTTCGTGCTATTCATGTTCTCTTCTCGTCGCAAACTCAATTCGTTGTCATCAGGTTTGGTTCTTGAAGGAGCCAACTGGTCAACAGATCAGCTAGTGTTGAACGACGGTGATGCGGTCAGGCTGAATCCCTCGCAGATTCGATGGGTTCAGACCGGGGAGGAGGATCCCGATAGGACAGTCGTCAACCTCCCGGTTTACCTCAACAACGACCGGAGCGATGTTCTCTTCACTGTCGATCTGCCGTTTGATGGTAGCGCGGGCTCTCTGGTAGCGACTCGCGCTGTCTGTCTTACCGCGGGAGGCTAGGGGCCAGATTCTCGCGGACCGGGTTGGGAATGAGTTTCACGACTTTTACGATATACTAATATGCTTCGATGATACCATGGCACGCATGTGGACGGATGCTGTAGACTAACATATACTCGGTCTCAAAATGTTAATGATCACCTAACGATATAACTCGACATTCAAAAATCGGCTGTATGCATTGCTGCTTTCTCTTTGATTGCACGTGCTTGGCACCTCCGATGGTACCGTACCATTGTGCACGATAATCGAGTGCCTTGCTCCCATACATCAAACTCCCTGTTGCAATATCTCGCCACATGCTCATATCTCCTGAGTGACCAGTGCCCGGGAAGCAGGGCAGTTCCGTCGATGAATTTGCACGAACATGGACAAAGTCGTTACCGCCTTGGAGCTAGCTACGTCAATTTCGAGAGCTGTCCCCGTCGCTGGAAACTACCTGGAGGGCTTACTGGGAACGGCTCTGCAAATTGCGAAGATCGCTGAGGTCAGTTAGGATATAATGATACCAGTGAATACCATCGTACTCAGTCCAGCACCCAGAATGCGGAAAATAGCAAGGAGGAATGCGCGCTGCTCGCGGAGCGTGCTGCCTCCGTCGCTATTGCCGTCACCAATCGTTTCTCGGAGAAGCAGCAGGAACTGGTGATGTCAACGTTGCAGAATAACATCAGTGCGTTACAAATGTAAGTACCTTACTTCATCGGGATACAGTTCGTACTCTGCAGAAACTTATATCCAATATCACCAGCGTATTGGAGCGAACGCAAAGCCTCGCCCTCCAATTGTCTAAACTATCAAGATGGAAGCGAATGATTCATCGTTCTAAGATAGAGATCCAGCTTCGGGAAAACTCAAGCAAACTCGATAACGCGATTCAGGTCTTCCAGGTTGGCGGACTTAATGACCTGGCTCCCCTGATGTGCATTGGATAAATCTTTCACTCAGATAAAAACGCAACTACAATCCTCGCTGGATCTGAATGCGTTACAAGCTGGTTTGAAACTGGCTCTAGAAAACCTGTCCGAGATGCGCCGACGCACGGAAGCTACCGCTCATGACGTTGCCGCCGTCTCCAGTCGTCACGACGTTGCGATACTTGAGTATGATCCTGACGTGAGCCGGCATGTACCCGACCTGGTGCATCGTACTGATGGGTATGTCTTCTAGTTCCCGTTGTATGGTCGGGGCGACTTCGTGTTCAGAGAAGAGATATGACGAAGTGACGAGGAGGGATCTGTCTCTCTACTCGCCACTCTACGTTCGACGAATGAGTCGGTGGTCGTCAAGACATTCACTAAGCGAGATGTCGCATTTCAGGCCAAAATCGAACTCCTCCGAAGTCTTCCATTACAGTGAGCATTGCGACTCGGTGACTGGCACCTTAGTTATATCGACCGGGATACAGTTTGTCGCCTCTGTTCGAGCAAGTGATCGGCATGTCTCGACGCCAGTCAGCAATCCCTTTCTATGTTGCTCATACAGGTTGGATGTCTGTTTGCCATCTCCGTCTGTTGTACTGAACCACCATGCACAGGGCGGAGAAGTGTGAGTGATGCTTCAACAAGCTTGAGCTTGTGTGAACAACTTGAATTTGCTGTCAGATCTGTTCGTGCTAGTTCCCCTTTCGTCTGGATCGTTATTGACCGGGGGTGTCAGACTCGAGAAATCAGCGTGAGTTTCAGAGAGACTGGCATCATGTTGATATGCCAACTTATTCATCGCCAGCATGCCCTGATGTTCTTTCAAGACCATGTGAAACGCTCCTCCAGTCATACCCGTGACAAACCTTCATGTGTAAGTGCCCTAGCATGCTGGCAATTGTGTTCATGCGGTTCATGTCATGATGCATAGGCAGCTCATCTACGAGGCAACCGTAACGGAACACACGAGACTCTTCGTCCCCAAGGATATCTGGTTGACCTCTGGAACTATGTTCCATCATGTCCGTCGCACTCCTATGGAGAGCCTTAGCAGCATTACCTGACGAGAATATTGGTGTTAGCTCATATGCCAACCTGTTGTCGATGATGGAGGTCGTGTACTGATCGAGTTTGACTTTTCCGTTATCGACCGAGGCGTTCGCCCTTTCTTCCAGCGCACAATGGTGCTCACCGTGAGTCATGCTTCCTGACGCGACGAGATTCATGCGATTTGACGATCGTGGTATATAGCACCTTGGGCATAACGTGACATCCTATTACGCAATCCCTGACATCGACGATCCTCTAGAAGAATGGTTTTATATACTGGGAAACCTCCGATCGAATTCTTGCAATGCCTTCAGAACGGTGCCTCACTGGTACCGTCGACCTACTGGTGTGGCCATCGAAGATGGAGACAACTTGACGTGGCATCCGCTCTCTGCGATGGATCCTGCAAACGATCAGGATTTCCGCACCGAAAAACATTCAAGTGACTACCACAAAGTATACGGTCCACGTCCCAGATTCAGAGACCGCCACTCTCGACTACGTGAAGGTTGCACGCGGTGAGCACCTCGAGGATGAGGCTTGTCCTGATCTCAACGCTGAATACCACAAGGCTTAATCGTACGAATCGGATGCCACCCTTTCAGGTGGTATACCGAATGGAGTCAAGAGCGCCTTGGTCTGACTCACACGCCCCCTGGATGTGGTTATATCACTGTGCGTTGTCCGTTGCGGATATGGTCGGAATCAACCCACGGAAGCTACACGCAGGTATAGTGAATGCTTAAAATGGTGATGGCAACGGCGTACGTGGACTCACCTTCCCTCAGTGATGACAGTGGAGGATTCCGGTTCCTCCAGGATCCGCAGGCCCCGGCGCAAAACAAAACGTTTTCATCTGTCCGGGGAGAGTGCGCACGCAGAGAACGCGGATGCCGAACAGGAGAGCCACCACGCCTTGGCACCCGACACCTTGTACTTCTTCGAGTTGCCGTACCCGGAGGTTGGTCCGGCGCACATTGCCTGGGGCTATTGGGCGCTCGATGAAGCGGGAGAGCGCGCGTCAAAGATGACGTCTTGCTTCTATAACGCAGAACGCTGCCGATGGGAGCTGGAGCTGGAGTTGGAAGGTCTAACATTCTGGATGACACGGTAAGACACGGCGCACCTCGTTCAGAATCTCGCGGATGTTGAAACGATTACACCTCAGGGAATTAAGCGTGCGGTCGGCAAGTCTCAACGAGCAGCTGGTGCAACTCCTCAGAATGCGGCAGCGACAGCAGGGCGGGACAGCGTCAATCGTGGAAGTTGCATAGCGTACGTATAGACGACAGGGGAGATGGTAGGCGCCGCCGAGATGTGGCTAGCACAATCCTGTGAATGCGTCGGCCGTAAATCAAACCAAGAGATGTTGGTTTGCTGCAAAGCGAGCGGCCGCGGCGGAAGCGGTGTACACGTACGGGGACGACTGGCAGATGCGCCACGGGTATCCTTTGAGACGCGTGCAGTTGTCCGTAGCGGGGACCATGGTCTATCCGGGGGCAATTCGATGCCGTCTTTGTCACGTCGGCGACGCAGACCAATGATCAATTCAGTACTTTGCCCGGACGTCAAGCCCTGCGCTCCAGCAAGGGCGCTATATAGACCACTGTATGTCATCCGAAACACGGATGCATGCACATGTACATGAACTTGGCGATATATGCTGTACGAACAGACCCCTACTTCGACATCAACCACAATCGCTGACACCTCGGTCATCTCGTCCTGATCCAAACGGAGGGGCATGATTGTCCAGCAACTACGTCGTGACCGCGCTCAACGCGTCCGCGTCAGCCGGGAGAGAATCTCGGACTCCCGTCGAACCGGACGACGCGCGACGGTGAGCGGGTACTGGGACGGCGCGTCCCCTTTGGAGCGAGAGAGAGACGATCGAGGCAGCGATCCCTGCTCTGGCGAGAGAGTGGCGTGGAGCGAGGTCCACCGACAACAACGACGACAACAAGAGGTCCACAGGTGGACGGGTAGAAGGTGAAGAAGAAGAGGCGAAAAAGTCATGATACGAGGCTGCCGAGGAAGGTGCGCAGACGCCCGCTGCTGCGCATGCTGCTGTCCGACTTGACCGAGCGGATGCTCGCGGCGCGCCCGGCGCCTCGGCGGTTCTTGGTGTCGCTGGTCGCGCCGGACAATGGCGGAGGCGGGGCGAGGGGGTACGGCCCGGAGATCGACGGGCGGCGCTCGGTGCCGGAGCGCGGTGGTGGCCTCGCCTTGGGCTTGGGCGACGTCAGCCGGGCGAGGCGCTTGAACAGCCCGGGCTTGGTCTTTTCGTCTTTCGGCGGCTCCTCGGGGACGAAGGAGGGATGGTGGTGGTGGTGGCGATGGTGGGTGTGGTGGGCACCGGGCCGGGGACGGCGGCAGACGTTCAGGTCCGAGTCGGCCGAGTCCATCGGGTCGTCGGAGTACTCCTCGTCCTCGTACGCGTCGTAGTGGATCGTGGGCATGTCCACGAATTTGACCGAGTGCTGCGTGTGCTGGCGCCGGATCGCGGGGCACTGGTCGGTCCGGGAAAGGATCGAGCGCGGGATGGTCGCCTTGGTCTGCGAGGACGAGGCGGAGGCGCGGGAGAGGACGGAGGAGGGCCGACGGCGGACCGGGGCGGGGTCGGTGAGCATGATCCCGCTGTCGGTGTCGGAGAGGGGGGTCGAGTAGAGGGCGCCGGCGCGGCGCGTGGCGGTGCGGGACCAGTCTGGGGGCGGGCGGCTGTAGGACACGGAGATGGAGGAGGACGAGGAGGTGGACGCGATCGGCGTGGAAGCGAACACCGACGCTGGATACCGCGGCGGGGGCATGGTCGGATCGTAGGCCATGGCGGTGTCGTCGAGGATGTCCATGTCCTACGGAGAAAGAAATAAAAGGTCAGAGGCGGCGAAAGAGTGAATATATGCGGCGAGACATACCGGGATATCGTCTACCAACGTTGATATTGGCGAGTCTTCGACGGAAGACCGACTCTGTATGCCATTATCAGCGACGCCACGCAGAGTAATAAATCAAAGGAGGCCCGTACGTTGGATTCTAGGGACGCTGTACGAAGGCGAGCATCGTACATGAAAGCAGAGCGGTTGACGCTTGACATCGTACTTTCGCGGTCAACTCCACTGTCCAGTCGCCAACAGGTCAGGGTCCGAGTCACAGAGCGTGCCGAGGCGGAAGCTAACGGGGCTTACGATCAACGTTGGAGGGAGAGGAGACGGGGGAGGGGGGAGGACGGGGGAAGAGTTCAAGCCATCCTGCCGATCCGTGACCGACGCCGAGGTGTGTGGTACCCATGCGTGTCCTGTGCATGTTACGGTCCGGAAGATGCGTGTAGGCCACTCATTTCAAGACGCCGTTGAGCTCATGAGAGGCTGCGGAAGCTGGTGCCGTACAGAGCGCACATGTTGGGAACACGCCTTTGCCTCGTGGTGGCGATTGTCTCCGACATTCCGGCGGGCTTGCCGTCACTGCTGGCTAACTACGGCACGCACATCGTCATGAAGGCCCTATGTATCTGATCAAGGAAGACCGAGGATTCCTACAGGGCTACTGAAACTTGATCCTATGGCTTCACAATGGATGCATGCTGATCACTTCGGGGGATAACAGTTTTGTATACATGGTGCACACTACGCCGGCTAGAAGCGCGCACAGAGTCGAACTCGGGTCTCGGGAAAGACGTCAGCAGAAACCAGGGTGAAACATGCGGAATTATTCGTATGGCTCGTCGTGGCCGGTGGATGAGAACGAAGCGGAACAGAATAAGACTCCATCAATTTGGACGAGGCCGGGTCTGAGCATATGTATGCACTTGTGTAACCACGAGCGGCGACGTGGCAGGCCTTCGCCCATTTCTTCGCCCTGATCCCGATCCTCGAGATATAATCAATCACGTCTCGGACGGTCATTATGCGGGCACACTAGCCCTTCTTTCTTGGCGGCGGTCCGGCGCCATTCCGGTCGGCGTCGTCGACAACGCTCAGCGCGACGAGATCCGAGAGGAGCGCAAGTTTGGATCCATATACATATGTCAGTCCGCAGGGTTTGATACGACTGCACCCGCGAATAGTTACTTTGAATGTAACACATTTCCTTTCGTATGTTCTTCCTGCCGACTAAACGCGCCGCAGTGATTCATGCCTTGTTTATGTATAGGCAAAGCTTCCGTGATGGGGTCCACGCTGATCGAGAGGGTACGGACATTGACAAGGTCTTCCAAGAACTTGCGACGCGACTTTGAAAGCAGAATAAATGTGCTCGAACGTATTGCAGGACCACTGGGTCAGAACGACGAGCAACATACAGGGCTCAGCATGTGCGTTGATTGCGTCTGCAGCGAAGGCGGTACGTTAGTCCAGGAGACGAGTGATGATTGCATCGTTCATACAGTCACAGACCTTGCCCTCGTCAGAGCAGTCGCGACCGCCCACGCAGAGGATTCGGATAGCACGCATATACCATCGGCACCGCATGGTCCAGCCCGGTTCCGGGCAGCTCCTCCTTTGTTCCTCCTCTACCACTGTTATCCACCGAATCCTCCCCTTCCCTCTTTTCGGCAAGGAAGAAGGCCTGACCGACTCCATGCAGCGTGGACTCTGCGATTGTCAGACCAGCGCGACAGCTCCGGCGGTTGGACGCTGTTCCGCCATCGGATGCCCCCTCATCTACGGCGCGGGTAATTCGTGGTCGGAGCCCAACGAAGAAAGTGGAACACGGCACCCTATCTAGCGCCTCATAAACGTCACGATCCCAAACCTCCGCCGACAACAGTGCCGATTCAGAAGGCCCAGGCAGTGGAATCAGACTTCGTGGATATGGATGTTGGCAATGAACATGAAACTCACCCGGGCGACGCACATACGAATACGAGGATGCAGCAAGGACTGATTCAATCGTCGTGATACTGCCGTCAACAGGCGCACAAGAGAACGAAACCTTGTTGAGCGCAAATCACTCGGAAGTCATCCACGTACATACTATATCCCTTACGCCAGCCAATTCCAAGCGTACTAAAGACAGGCACGATACATCAGCAGACTCTCGTAGTTGCGCCCGTCTTGCTCGCCGACCCGCGGCGAAGATCAGCCGACAGCGGTTTAGTAGATCCTATAGTCCAATGCTCATCGCTCCGCGCTACTATGAACCACACCACATAGGTGGGCAACTGTGGTGCACGCAGTTGTTGTGGCAGCCAGCTACGCAGAGCAAGCTTACGGAGGCGCCTGGCGTGCTGTATGTTCTAGTCACAACAAAGGTGGTTTGAGTTGACATTGACGTACAGGATGCACTCAACACTGTCTCGCGCGACGTTTCTTCCACGCATTTTCGGACGAACGAACGAACTGGACGAACGACGATTGGGTGTCTCACTAGCCTTTCCTCCATAATCCATGAAGCCTTTGGATATGTTCAAGAGGGATTACTGACATAGGCTCGTGATCCACCACCAACACCACCACCAACACCACCACCATCACCACCACCACCACCACCACTCAACGCCACATGTCCGTTGATGTTGTCCATCGTCCCATAACTCACCTGGCCGCAGCGTTTTGAGCTACTGGCAGGGAGACTATCATAAGTACGTCCAAACTGAACGTCCTGAGCGTCGCGATATTCATCATGCCGGAAATTCATCAGACTCCCAAAGGCATCCTGCTAGGATCTCACGAAGTTTCATCTGATGTGCATTGGGTGAAGCCCGTTGTACCTACCGTGCTCGGCGACCTCGACCAACTACCCGTTCCCGGAACGGATCTGATCTTTGCCAGCGTAAGCCCTAGATACATCCTCTATGTCTCAACGACCGATGCTGACACCGCGTTAGCTTGACGGAGGGTGGTTCTTCCCTGGACCTCTGGACTTCGAAATGCTCAAAAAGGCATTCGCCGCCACTCTCCATGACTATCCTCACGCTGCCGGCCGGCTTCGGTCTGACCCGAAAACTGGGAAATGGCACATTACCCTAACAAATTCCGCCGTTCCTATCACCTTCAATCGCACCTCAGTGGACCCCAGACCTGAAGTGGAGTTCATGCAAGAATGGCACCCTGATTTCCTAGACCAGCTCCCGTGGAGTTTTGCTCCCACCAGCAACAACGACGAACCACTGCTTAGATGTAAATACACCTATTGGGAAGCCACAAACGAGTCAAGCTTCGCCGCGAGCTGGTGCCATGGACTTGGTGCGACGATATTTTCCCCTGCCATTCGGTCATCGGTATGCTGACACCCGCCGTCAGGCGATGGCCTGGCGCTTTTCCAGTTTTGTGATAATTTGCACCACCATTACCTCGGCCTCCAACCTCGGATCATGCCAACTTTCGAAAAGTATACTGCGCAGCCGCCTACTCTCGAACGGCCTGCGTTGGTCGAAACAATCCCACTGGTCCCTCATCTGGCCATTGATTATGCACCGGAGCACTTCTTTGCTATGTACACGCAGATGCTCGATAGCACCTGTCGAGTCGATTTACAGTTCACAAAGGATCAGTTGCAGAAGATGCGCGCCATGGCAGAGAGGCACGCCAGGGTCAAGATCAGCACGCAAGACGCTCTAGTGGCTTACTTGATTACTGTTCTTAACCGCACAGAGAGGGTTCCGGCCAGATGGCTCATGAACGTCGTCAACGTACGTTCGGAGGCCTCTTCTCCTTCGCTCGCATTGACCTTCGACTAGTACCGTGGGGTGAAGGCGGCACCTGGATTCGACTACACCCCCCCGCCCGTCACCTCTGCAGGCAACATCACCCTCACGAGCTTTTCCGATAAAATCCCTGAGGAAGCCAAGCTCGATCTCGGGTTCGTGTGCATTTTATGTGCCTACATGCTCTCTTATACTGAGGTTGCCCAATGCGACAGCTTGATCGCTACAGTCGTCCGCGACACTGTCACCAAGGTTCGCGATCCTGATTACTGCCGGCGGGTCGTAGCTATCTCCGAGGAGTTGTACACTCGCAGCTCGAACGCGAATCGTTGCCAGTGGTGGTTTCCATGGGAGGGCGGGGTGGCGGTCAATAACCTGTATCGGTATGTGAAGACTGTTTGTTACCGCATCCCATGCGTTAATCATAGAACGTTAGCGCACCGGCGACCGATTGCCATTTCGGATATCCCGGCAAAGCGCGTTTCCATTCGTACGGGTCATTTGAGCGCTATTTCCGTATCTGGCCCGGTAACCCGACGAAGAACGCTCAAGGGGTTTGGGAGGCGAACAATGGTGCGTCGTGGTTGGGAGCCTCATGATGACGACTGACTGACATGATGCATACAGGAAGTGCCCGAGTATTTTTCCGCATTAAGCATCAGCTCAAAGATAAGTTCCTGGAGACCGTAAAGGACGATCTACGCCTTATGAAAGAGGAAGACATCCTGAAGGCGAAGATATAAAGCGATAGCACCCTGTCCCATTGAGTTGTGACTTTTCGCTTCATGTTTGGGTTTTCTTCCAGTTTTCCAGTGTATGCGGGAACATACCCGTCCGCTGTGGTGTTGATCCCAGGGTCCTCTGTTATCTCTCCCCTCATTATATATGTAGAATGGTGATGAAGCTGGGATACCGCCCTAGCGGCAAGTTGTATTAAGTCCTTGATATGCCATTGCGTCGGACCACTAGACCCAACGCGCGCTGCTAGGAGCCGT